CTAATTTTTATATACTATAAATAATTATAGTACAATATCACATCTTCAAATTCCTCAATATATGAAGATTGCTCCTTGTGGAACTTATCTTTAAAAAGAGGGAATAATATCATGGATGTATATAGATATTTTAATAAATATTTTTATGATTAGATAGAAATAAATAAAAATAGATAAAAATAGGTTAATTTTATAATATCTTTTTGAGAAGCTTCTTACAAGCTTTATAGATGTCGCTTTGACTTTATATGTGTTTGTAGTTGATTAATAGGTTAGAAACTTGGTCAACAAGTTAACTACATGTTAGTAGCTTGTAGAACAAGCTAACTATGTGGCGCACACATAAAAAAATTGCTTTACAAGTTAAGATATGTGCCTTGCAAAGTCAAAATGTTATGGAGATCCTATAAGATATCGCTACATAGCTTCTAGTTAAGAGTATATATAGAAGCCAGAGTGAAGTCTTCTTCATTCTTATCAATGCCTTTCTAGTCCTTAATCTTATTTCAAGTCTTTCTAGTCTCCTTGTTTTTTGCAATAGTTATTCTAGTTCAATAATATGTCATCTTTGAGTGACTTTTTAATTCTTTTTAGTATCATAAGAAAGTATTGAGGATTTCTTTCTTTGAGATTTATGTACTTGACACATATACAAAATCTATCATAAGTGAAGAAATAACTAAGCTTTTTTTTTATAATATCTATCACTATCATGAATTACCTAAGGATATAATATCAAATAGTAAGACTCAATTTGTATCTAGATTTTAGAAAATCCTTTTCAAAATTATCTTTGATTTTTTATCTACAAAATAATGGGCAAATAAAATAGATGAATCAAGTTTTAGAGCAGTATTTGAGGTGTATCATCAACTACTGTTAAGTTCATTGGATAGCTCTTTTTCTACTGATAGAATTTGTGTATATTAATTTGATACATTCTTCTACTCAACAAACACCTTCTTTTTTTTGTTAATTATGATTATCATCCATGACTTAATACTTTTGACTTTTTAAAAATTGATAATCCTATGATAAAAGATTTAAAAAATTATTTATTAGAGCTACATATAACAATGATGGTGCAATTAAAGGAAGTTTAAGAATGACAAAAAATCAATGCACATACTTATCGCAAAGAACAACCACAATTTAATATAAATGACAAAGCATAGTTATTTCATCACAATATTAAGACTACTTGTCTTTGTAACAAGTTGGACTTTTCTAGGCTTAGACCTTTTCTTATTTGTGAACAAGCTAATTATATTGATTATTGATAATATCATCTGAAGTCTATGAAGATTTATTCCATATTTTATATGTTTCTTCTTAAGCTATATAAGGTAGTGAATATCTCAAAAAAAAGATAAATACAACTTTTTTTTATAGAAGTGGGTAATAATCAATAGTTTGAGATAGAAGAAATCTTAGATTTAAAGCAACATCAAAATAGATTGAAATATCTTATGTATTGATAAGGATATGATATTAGTAAATACACATGAGAGCTAAAAAATAATCTTACAAATATAACAAAAAAAATTGAAGCTTTTTATTGACAATATCCATCAAAATGAAGATTAAAAAAAATAAGATCCATGAAAGATGATAACTACTACTTACGAAATTTGTCTCAAGAAAGAGAAATAATGTCACAAATATATATATTTATTCTAATAATTATCTATATGATTAAATAAAAATAAATAAATTTTATAATATCTTATTGAGAAGCTTCTTAAAAGCTTTATAAATATTGCTTTGACTTTACATATCTTTGTAGTTAATTGATAGGCTAGAAACTTGATCAACAAAATAATCATGTATTATATGTATTAATAGCTTGTAGAATAAGCTAATTACATGACTCACATATAGATAACTTATCTTACAATTTAAGACCTATGACTAGCAAATTCAACACATGTTGGAGAATTTATAGCATATTGCCATGTAACTCATAGTTAAAGAATTTATATGGAAACAAGAGTGAAGCCTTTTTTACTCTTATCAACGTCTCTTTAGTCCTTAATCTTATTTCAAGACTTTTTAGTCTTCTTATCTTTGGCAATAGTCATTTTAGTTCAATATATTACTATCTTTGATTGATTTCTTAGAATTTTTTAGTGACACAAGAGTATATTGAAATATTTTTTCTTTGTAATTCATGTCTTTAATAATTAGGCCTTGATTTTTTTTAGAAGTAACATGTTAAAGAAAATTATTTATTGTCCATATTACTTGCTTATTAGGTAATTATATAAGTTATTAAATATATATTTTTAATTCTATCCTAAACTTAAAGTTATCAAATTGGTCTTTACTTAACAAAAAATAGTGAGGTTGTTAAGTTATAATAGCATTGTTAATAAAATAATTTAGCACCTCAAAGCATAGATCAATTGTGTTGGTTGGAACAACTATTGTACTTTAGAGAAGAATGAAAGAAGAGTGTAAAAGAGGAAAATTATAAGTAGATGGAATCTAACTTTGTCTTTGAAATATTAGCAAAGAACTAAAATAAAGAATAGATGATTGTTGCTAAAGGTGATGTAGGTTAGAACTTTTTATTTTTACTTATAATTTAAGGCAATTCTATCTTAATATAGATATTGTATTAGACATTTTTACTATAGGTATGATTGAATAAATTATATTAAGATAGAAATTTAAAATTTAAGTAATATAGATTAATAAATTTGAATTTGATTTTTTTTTACAATAACTCTAATTTTTGGATGTATATCTTTACTAAAAAAAGTGAGATTATATTGAATATAAAATATCTATAATCCTAACTATTTGTTCAAAAAACATATAATTAGAGCATTTTAATTAATAAAGATAATAGAAAAATAATTCGTTTTTATTTTTTTTAAAGCATAAGAATTAAAATATATGATATTTTAAAGCTAAATTTAAAGTGTAAATCAAATAATATTATTTTATCTTTTGTATAGAAATTTTACTTAAGATAATGAAAAAAATAATATCTATTCTTTACAAAAAAAAGACACCAATTAAATTGCAAGTATGCTCCATTTATTTATTTATTTTTCCTGGCCACACTTTTAGAGCATTCATAAGATACCAACACTCTTAGATTTGTCATTTATATTTAAAATTTTATTTAACTAGATGCACACATTCTAATAAAAAAAATTATATAGAAATATTTACAAGAATAAGAGTACTAGAATTTTTTTCTATTGTACTAATTATTATCTATTTTAAGAATCATAAACAATCATAAAACTTTAATAGGCTATATGGCTTTTATTTTGAAGTAATTAATAAATAAATGAATACGTAGATAGTTAGATAAATAAATAAATGCATGGAATTTTAGATTCATAAAAAAATGCACAAACATGAACTTTTAACTTTATTTTATAAGATATATTTGTATGCAAAAATATCATATACAAAAATATAATATAACTTATTTTACCTATGTAATATTATAATTTTTATAATTTTATATTTTATATAAATAAAATAAAATAAAATGCACTTATATTTATAATTTAATTTTACTAAATTTTATTATAAAAATATTATATTTATTTATTTAAATATAAATTTAAAAAATTAATATTAAAAAAACCTATTATTATTTATTTTATATGTTTATTTTAACATATAATTTAACCATATTTTATAAAATCCAAAAATAAAATATTTTTTGATAATTACAATAAAAAATAATATGTATATATACAAATATGTTTTTAAGAATAAATACTATTATATATATATATAATCTTAAAATATTTTTATCTTTTAATATAAAAATATTTGATTGATACCTTTAGATATTGAAAAAATTTATTTTAAATTGAAATAATTAAAATATTTTAAAATTTTAATACTTCATTTAAATTTTTTTAATTTTTTTAAAAAAATTTAGGACACTTTTTGATTAATTCCTAAAATATTTTATGTTTTTTAACAAACATTTTATCAAATAGTTAAAACATAACTCATTTGGGTCATTGTGTAAATAAAATATTTAAAATTTTACCATACCTTCATTATAAAAATCGTATTATATATATATTAATTTTCAATACAAATAACTTTTTATATTAATATAAAAAATTATATAATGAAGTTATGGTGAAAATAAAAATAAAATAAATATAGTTTCAAAAAATAAATATTAGATGCCTCTTTCTAAAGATTGGATGATATTTGAAAAAATGTATATATATTAATTAAAAGTTATTTAATAAATCTATAAAAATAATTTAAAAAGTAAATCAATTTTAATAATTATTATATTATATATATTTACATTTAAAAATAATATTGCATAAATAATATAAAATAAAAATAATTTGCTAAGTATATTCTTACATTTAATATTATATACAATGCTTCTCCTAGTAAATAAGCTTCCAAAAGCTAATAACCTTGAATAATTAATTAAAATTTTAAATATCAACTTTACTCTATAGTGCATATATAATAATCTTTGATTTCCAATAGTTTTTTTTTTTTTTTCTGACTTTTATTAATTAACAAATATCATGTGGTTATATGTGGTTGGACAATGCAAAGCCATGTGGTCACCATAGCAAAAGCAAGCAACCTAGATTGTAGAGCCTTTGCAAGAATGATTTCTATATTAACTTCAACATGCCACCTCTAATGATTATTAACCTTTAATGTTTAATAATTTATAATAATCTAGAAAAAATATAATTTATTTATAAATTAAATCAAATAAATATTACATGATTTTTATAATAAATCAACCATATAAATTTACATCAAAGTTTTATAAATATTTTAAATATGTAAATATAATCAAAATCAAAATCAATTCAATATTTTGTGTTTTATAGCTTTAAGTAAGTATGTATATGTTATTATGATCTACATACTATCTAACTTAAATAACTACAATAATCTTAGACAATTAAAGGACTCCTTTCTCTTCCATGTCAAGTAAAGATCTTTATGTCTTATTACAGTGAACGTTTTCATGTGTATAAGAGATGAATTTTGAATTATTTATTAATTGCGTTCAAGTGAATGCAATTCAATATATTCTAACAAATATGTCAAACACTAATTATAATAACCACAATAGTATATAATAACATTATTTGTTGTAGAACACAGGCACATTGTTTGCATACCAATACATACAAGGATAGCTTGATGGCTTGGACTCAAGCACCACGATTCATGACGATCATGAGACCGAGTTCCACAATGCAGTGAATGCTTCGAGAAGAGGTGCCTGATGCTTCGATATGTTTCTACTCCAAAGATACCTTGCTATCGTTGATAACATCAGACTTCTTCTCACAGCTCTGGTTCACGAACCTTGCTTCGGGAAAGAATCGAAATTCTGGGAAGGAATATCAGTTCCTGTGTGGGTACCGAGTCCTTATTGGTGACGCTCTTGCTCTTGGTGAAGGCGTTGGAGTACCCAGGGTTGAAAAGCTGAAGAAAACATGTCGAGTGCAGGTAGTATTATTGTTGCTCTTCTGTGTTTAGTCCCTATTCTTCCATACAATCGAGGCAGGATTGATCAAGGAAGGAAACGGAGACCATGAATTGGGCTCGTAGTTTGACACCTAACATCTTGTTATCGACCCACTGTAAGCAGGTTGTCTTTAGCAAACATAAATCTGACAAGTGATGTAAGTTGGCAATAACTTCTGGGTTTGCATTTTCCAGGACTCTCTGTGTCGATCACTGCTATGAAGTCTAACACCCATACCCGAACAGAGTTGATCCTCGACAAACCTTCTTATGCAATTAACATTCTGTCCAGAATGATTTTCATATCTGCAGATGAGGGTTTCAAAGATTCCTCTTTGTAGCACTTCGACAGGATCTCCTCCAGTGCCTTGTACTTTTCGAAGAACATAGGCTGCAGTCGATTTTATGATCAAGTGAGCACATATTTTACCATCAGCATGCTTCTAATTGCAATACAAAGTAACATTCCCTGGTAATGGATGCAAATTCAATGGAAAGAAACGGCTATGAGCTGTGCTAGTGGAATGGCTGAATGCAATTCAGCAGTAAAAAAAAACCAGATAGAACCCTGTGCTTTGTAGGGGTACTTCTGGTAAGAATATTCTTAGAACAATAGAGAATACTGTGGTTATCCGTTACACCTTGGAGCTCGTGCACAACCATGAACATTCAAAGATTAATATCCAACCAATGAGGATGTTAAACTTAAACATTTTATAGAAATTTGTAGGATGCAGTGCCATACCTTGAAATATTGATTCCAGAGTGTTGTTAGAATATCCTGACGTTGGATTGATTTCTGCATCCGCTTGTAAGTGAAGGTTAGAGATTTTTCCACCTACAGGATTACAATATCACAGCATTGGCACTTCTCACCTGAAACTGTGTATATCTCACGTCAAATAGATTGAAACTTTGTGGAACTCAATCATGTGCTATTAGAATGCAGTGATGATTTCTAAACTGTCTTGCAGAAATTGCAGATGCTCAAGACTCAACATCAATGCATAGCAGCGGTTCACATATGAGAAAAGAGCAGCTTCTCTCAAAAAGGATGGATCCACCCAGAGCTCCTCATGCTTCAGCTCAAAGAACTTACTCCTGACAAACTGGATTTCAATTTTTTTCGCAAATCCGATTTGGTGAATCCAGGCATTGATGAAACCTGAGCATGTTTAAAGTATTAATACCAAAAATTTCTGACGATTATCCAATGATTGAAGAGAGAACCCGTAAACAGGCACATATCACCGAAATCTTTCTCAGCGCCTGACGAATAATTAACAAGAACAAGACAAGAATTTAAGAAACACTATGCTAATTTAAACTCCTTGGAGGAAGTTTATCCTAATTCATACAGGGCTCGTTCAAAATTCGAAATATGTATAACCAATTCAAGATAAAAAAAGCTTTCATTATATTCGATAAATGGCTTAATATTATCATTTGGAAGTGTCGTCCCCTGAAAAGGCATGAACGACGTTGTGCATTGAGATAGTTAAGAAATGTGACATCAGACCTTTCCCGGCTCCGTCGATAGCAGTAGAACTTCTACCTTTTCCACAAATGAGGTGAATCTCTCAAATTGCTGCACATTCAAGAAAACAGGCGGATACCACAAGTACAGCGTGGCTGTTAGGTACACTAAGCCATTCTTCCTTCAGTATCACCTAGGTCTGGATCAAAATAGATGCTGGATAACATTGAATCTTATTCTTTCATTCCAAAAATTTCATCGGTGGTAGTAATAACTAAGTCAACGCATCGAACTTAAAGTGAGATATATATACGCACATAGTTGATCATTGTCTGGACATATTGTTGGCATGCTTGCGCATAAGAATCTGTAGCTTGAATGTAAAATTTCTCCAAAACAGGCGTAACGGCCGCAAGTTCGTACATCCTTTACGATCATGGCCAAGTTTTCGAAGTAGTGAGTTAAGCTTTTCTTTTGTGGACTTCCAGTTACGCTTTTCATCTTAAAACCTATAATAAGGCGAGAGCAGAGCATGCTGTAGTCATCAATGAAGAACATTAAATGATGGTAGGAAAGACTACCTGTCTTGAAAAGCAGCATAGTTGTCAATCGCGAAAATTTCAAAATTTTTTGGATCGTTTTCACCAATATTTTCGATGGTTGAAAATATAGTACCAGCCTGATTTACAAACCCAGATGAGAATCAGAAGATTATTGTCGGTCTCTTTTTTGTCGCCAAATTATCTAGAAATCTACGGTGCTACTGTTAGCCATGTATTTTTTAAAGGTTTTGAGATCTTTAGAAGGTTGTGATTTAAGGTTTCAGTTGAAATGGGACAATCGCATCCTGCATAGAACGTAAGTAAAGATTACGATTCGGAGTGGTTACTTGACAAGGACGCATGATCTCTAGCAGAACTTCGTGATTTATAATGCATATTTCCGTTTGTAATTTGCAAAAAAATTAATTATACAGTACACAATAGTTGAGAGAATTCGAAGCTTACCAATATTTCATAGGCAGCATCAATACCTCCTCTTGAATTCCGCCCTACGATCTGAAATTCTATTAATGTAGTCAACTTCGCGAACCTGCACCACTACCCTTTAGTTTGAACTCTTGCGTCATTTCCTTTTCTTCTTCTTTGTTTATTCTCAGATATGGAAGTCATGGGTCAAGCTCACACAAAGTCACGAAGCCTATGTACTGCCTGAGCATATCTTCGCCATGATCAAATATTGTTACCTGAATGTAGCCCAATTCATGTAATTATTTAAACAAAGATCTTGAGAAGAGATTTCAGAAAACTCGTGTAATGGACACTTGACTCAGAGAGTTGACGCCTTACTTGATAATGGAATAAAGAACTCCTGCCTGGTTTCTCTCAGTTCTTTCAAACTGCTTGCTAGTTTCAGCAACAACCTGCGCAGTTAATTGTCAACTTTCACTTATAATAATTTCAGATCTACTTTCAGTGCTGGATCACATGACTTGTGTTCAGTTTATAAATACGATCGCGTTTATTGACAATTCAACAAGATGAAACCAAAGAGAAGAATGTTTTGGACGATGATGGTAAGATGAAAATCTAAAGGGCAGTTACAGGACTCTAACCAAATTGACCAAATGTTACTGCATGCACGGCTGCTCAAAAGTGTAACCATCAGTGTCAACTCTGAGGTCTCACAATTTGAAAAATGATATAAGGTGAAGAGACAAAAAGTTTGATGCAAACCTGATTGAAATTGTTTGAAATGCGAACTTGAAGATCGTCGAGCAAGCCGTGGACAAACCAAGCAGCATCAGCTTTGTGGCTAGACAGGTATTTTTCCGTAGCTCCTTGCATTGATATACAGCTCCAAGGATCCTGTCTGTGTGCCCATTTAATGACAGCATAGAAATCCTCCTACAGTCCAGTCAATGAAGTTAGATTTGTTTCTTTCTTATATGGACCGAGATTATTCTCTGACGCGTTAAAAATCAAAATCTCACCATTTTCAACGATGACAAATGCGTGAATCGGAGCAGAAATCACGCGAAGAAGCCTTTTACTACAGATTCGACAAAGCTCCTCTAATAACGCAGCATTTAAGAGCAATTCGAGAATTGCTTCAGGCAAGTCGCTTTCAGTTTTTAATTCTTGTCATTAATAAATTCCTAAAACAGAAGCCGGTTTGAGCTTGGGTGGTACCTGTATTCCATCTAGCAGCTCTCGAAGAGCTTCTTTTAGAGTCTTCGATTCAAGAGCCTGTTGATTTTCTGCACCAACAAGAATCTTTTGTGAGAGATCTCTAGAACCGATGATACACAATTGTTTAACAACTGTTTTAAGCAGCTCCTAGAAGATGTAGCTCATTATCTCAAATTTAAAAGTATAATGTTACTCAGATCATCTAAAATCAACATCCACATGCCAAAAGAAATTGTGGATGCTGACAAGCGTAAATGTTGGGGTTAAATAAAACTGAGCTATTCTCCAGGAAATCTGCATTAGAAACTGGAAAACAGTGATGTTCTTTTCGTATCATTACGAAAATAACAAATGTCACCATGTCAAATATTGGTTGATACAGCTGGTTTTCAGATCGGGCAGTAGGTTTAATTCGCATCATCTTCTAATTAGAGTTCGCTGTAATCAGGGTTCAAGATATGGAAGCCCCTATGCACAGAGTGCACCTAAGGTAGAACTCACTCACGGGTGTTTGGAACAGTATCGTCCACATTTACAACTCTGGCCTCTGTCTCGGAGTCATCGCTGACATCGTCTGGATCGACTTGAGGGGTGAGAAGCTGGACCTCAAAGCACATAAAAGAAGCAAAGAACGAGCTCTGCAAAGAAGGCGTACAACCAAGAATTTTCAATCTCAGGGGCATCAAACTTCAGTAATATGTGCAAACACTCATCACCTCAACTTTAAAAGTATAATTATTGACAGGAATACATCATAAGATAGGATCGAAATGAACCAGATTACCTCGTCAACCAAGAATGGAATGAAGGTGCGTAGCATTCTAGAATAGGCTTCAGATACTGTGGATTCGCCAACAGGGGATGACTGAGTCTTGCTACTCTCAAGTCTGTCCAGCCACACTGAATTGGTTTGTTTCGCGACAGTGCTGCTTCGAAGTTCGTTGGCAAACTCACGTACCTGCAACAAATGACTCAATATCAACTCATGATATTTTTAGACTTTCCCACATAGCAAAAAAAAAAAAAAAAAAAAAAAACAGCAACAACAACAGTTTAAGTGAACAGGGATTAAACCCCAAACAATTAAGTTAGAAGATAACTTAATGAGGGTATTTTAAGCAACACTAATGTGTATTGGAGCCCAGTTTTACGCTCGACAAAAGATGAAGAATCCACTCCGCGAACTGGAAAACCTTACGGTTGTAGAAATATTGTGAAATTTTTTAACACACAGCGCCACTGTTAAAATTACCTCTCTTCGAATCAGTACGTTGAGTGAGAGACAAAACGACTTTCGTAGAGGTTGCAGAGAATTCTTGTCCAAAGCCTGTCAACATTCAGATCTGATGATTGATACTAGTTCTAAGATGTTGAGAAGCATTGTGAAACGCAAAACGCTTTCATTTAGCCCAATACCGTATGTAACTTAATACTTGTAGAATACGCCACTACTTGAAACTTTTTGTGATTGAGATTAGTAGTTCAAAACCTTCATATGCTTAATCATTCGTGCGTACGTTCGGCATTTAAACCGCAAGTCATCACGAACCGGCTTTCTCAGCTTTCCCTTCTGTAAACATCCAATCATAAATGTCATAATCGAGGATGCCACTACACTGGGTGGTATAACTACATTCTTCAGAGGTTCATCATCGTCTTTGAGTGGATGATATTTACCATCAAAGTAGCCTTTACACTGGCAACATAAGTGTTCTGTTTATAAACAGTTCCCGTGAAATTTCAGAAAGACAAGTAGTAGGAGGCATACCGTTGAGAATGTGTCTTTGTCGCTGATCGTAGACTCAATAACACTGGAAAAATAATCACAAAGGAAACTGGTCGCACGTTTCAAGAACACACGCTTCAGCTTTTCAAGCTCATCGCGCTTCTCCCTAATCTGGAAAGTTTAAAGTGAACCAGAGGGTTTGAGAATTGTTTTACAAAGTTTGCGCACGATTATGTACTGCTTTGGACCTAATATATGAATGTTACATGGAGAACCTCTGGAAAATTTCGGGAAATCTCATGGCACATACAGCTCTCATTGAAGCATAGCTGGGTTCCAAATAGGGGGGTTGAAGATCACGCAGAGCAGTCGCCAACCATTTACAAGCTTCTACATTCTGGGCCACTTTTACTTCCTCAAATGTGCCTTCCTTAAGCGTTTCTGCGTACTGTTAACCCAAGCAAATGACAGAAGTATCAACATAACAGGGATGAAGACCTTCAGAAGTACTATTAGCACACTAAGTCTACCCAGTGCAAAACAACAAATTGTCTGATACTTCCTGGACGCCGCTCGTTTCTGCCCGATGACTTGTTTATTTGGTGTAACACGTCGACAAGACACAACTTTTAAATAGAATTAATTTGTGACACACCGGTAGACTGACCTCAGGAGGTACTCGAAATCGGTCTGATACGAGATGTAACTCCTTGAGAAGCAATGAATTGTTACGAACTTGTGTTTCCAGACAGTTGTTCGCGGACTCAATCTGGTGACGTTGTGACAAACCACAGATGTCCGCATATTAGAAGGACCAGACTGTGATTTGGATTAAAGTTGCACATCTGCACGGTGCTATCACGTCGTACACATCTGTCACGACCTACGTAGCTCCCCCTCATCGTTATCATAACCATTATCACTTTCTCAGAACCCCATTTGCATAAGCATTTTGAAGGAGATATAATTTTAGGCCATACCGCAGCAATATCTTCACGCATATAGCGTATTTTGACATTGATAGTACTAATCCACTCTTCCAAGTCCTCAACGCTTCCCAGAGTCATGTCCAACAATTCGGTTACCTTCAAACATAGTATTGATACATCACGTCACTCAGTGCCCTACTTTTGTGGGTTATGAACGTGTTAACTCTTAGCCATGGACACTAGGTGACATGTTTTCACATTTCTTGACACTAGTTCTGTGTTGCAAATTAAAAAAAATTGAAAGACAAAAGCTTATGGAAGATAGCTCGACCTCATCAACAATGGGTGCGTTCTCCAGAATCGCATGGACATTGGCTGTGTCTAATGCAATGACCTCCTTTGTCAGACGCTCCGAGAAAGCATCCGCTTCGTCAATGCCCAGTACATACCTGCATCCGACACCAACATCAGGGAATAACCACCTTACTAAACGAAACTCTAGTTCAATCTCAAAGTTACCCAATATCCAGGGATTTTGATTTTTTTTTAAAAGTGAGACTAACTATTGCGAAATTTTATGTGTATCTACAGATCCTGTGCTTTAGGGGGTGTCAAGAACAGACATGCCAAGAAGAGCATCCATATCCTCTTCTTCGTCTTTGGAGACAAGTTCTTCATAGGCGTCACTGTAAATTTCCCCTATTTCTACATCTCCTCCATCATTAACAATCTCTTCCTCGTGAATGGCAAAACTTTCTAGCATAACATCTGGTGCACCTGCTAGCAATATCTTGGCATTTTTCTGCATACAAGGAAATTCAAAGTAGTAATAGTTATAAGCACTCTAGGCTCTCAATGACATGATCCTTCATGCAACGTACAGCACTCCGTGTCAACCAAGGCATGAATGCTCAAAACAGGAGACTTAGATGCCTTAACGCTCGCTGAGTCGCAGTTGATAAATAATCATGCAATGCTAGGGGAGAAAATCCAGACACATGAACTTTGCACACGACTACCTTTGCCCACAATTGCATTTCCACGACATCAATTCCGACAAGTTTTGGGGCCCGGCCATGGCATTTCTTACAAAGCTTAGAAATTGCAGTGAGCAAGCGGTTACTGCGAGGCGCCAATTCAAAGAAACTTTTGTTGTCAGCTATGTACAAATGAAAAAACATTCCTCGTAAATGTAAATACGTGTCAAACTGAACCTCCAAGGCGAGAAAATTATTAGTCTGCTACTTTCTTGGATAGCTAATCCTGCGAGATTTAAGTACTTGATTACCGATCTTCTAAGGTTTGCGTTGTCCATTCAGAGGAGCGCCAAGGCCGATCCTGTGGTACGTCGAAATTCTGCAGAACATGTTAAAACTTTCCATTATAATTTGTTATGACCTGTAACATGTTAATGATGAATAGTTGGGGAAAACATTTGAATTGGAGGTTTGAAGAATGCATTGAAGATGAAAAACTTAGAAAATGCAGCGAAAAGGTAATCAAGGGATATTGCAGTAGCACAAGTATGAAAGTGCGTCCGCTCTTATCCTGAAGGACTCCCTCAATTCTGCTCAGGCGTCTCAGCTCGTGAACTTTCTCAATCTGCATGCGCATCCAAATTCAGTGTCACGGAGACTCTATATACGAGACTGGATGGATTATACACACCATGGGTGACATACATCATGACACTACTCAGCAACTTAAAGAGAATCAAATGACTGAGCTAGCGATCAGAAATTATTAAAATATTAGACTGTCTATATATTGGCCTTAAAAATGCGATTGAGGGTGTCATACCTCGAGAGCTGATGAAGAGCCCACAAAAACCAGAAGTCTTACTCGCATTTTCTTAGTCAGTGTTGAAGGCTTTACTGCATGCCAGTCAACATAAACGCTCAATAAAGCGTTCAATGAGACTATTTGATTTATGGGCTCCTAAACCTTGGTTTCGCATAACCGAAACTCTCAAGTCGATTAATTCCTGGAGTCCATACTAACCCAGGAGATTCTCAAATGCTCAAAAAGTGCCACATGTAAATATCTTTTACTTAATCGTCGAAAGTCTCCGAATTATCAGCTGAAGTCAGAAAGCTATTGTGACATAACAAGACTTAGTGATTTAATATTTGCTCAAACTGCATTAAAAATTAATTTCTGAAATCATAAAAATTCTTCATTACATTATGCACTGGTATACTGTGACAGTAACCTCCAGCGAAGTATAGCTTTTTTGCAGTAGATATGGTTGAAGTCTTCAATTTGAAACAGTAACCGTGGAGAGAGAAGTACCAGCGACCGCAATAATTCGTCGTTTGCTTTGTGCGCGACCTTCAGTGCCCCAGGAACTCATGCTCATTTCGACATACAATGCCATGACGACGTGCTCCGAGGAACCAATCAAACTTTGCACAAAACCCCGTAATTCGTCATCGGCTGAAAATTCCTCCATTTTAAACGATATCTTGGTCTGGCCTTTTTAACTTACTGGCGCTGGCACCCACTTCATCCAATGTGTTTCATTCTTTTCTCAGCAGTACAATCCAATCTGTTCTGCATTCCTCCCCCATCCACAGACGATGTGAACGGACTTCAAGAACTCAGATTAGAGAAAGAAGTTCAAGCAATGAAACATAAGAAAAGTCCGAAAGCACGTGATTCGATCCTTGAGCAAGATTAGAAATTACATTTGAAGATAGTCAAAAATGATCTGATGTAAGCACTCACCAACGCACTTAGCAAGCACGAAATCTGATACCAGATTTTTAGCCTCACAAGAACTGGAATCCGTCCCCAGTATCAGTCAATCAGACTGTGAAAAATTCTTGAATCGCTAATTCTCAAATCCTTCGAACAAAATATGGACATTCAAGAGCGGGTGCAAGTTGGAGAACGGTTTGAATCCATATGATTCTCAATATCTAGAGCTATCTGTTGCGCATTCGAAAATAAGCTCACCTCAGACGTCATAGGCTAAGATTTGTGCTGCAGGTATGAACGTTGCAAAATAGAAGCGTGCATGGGCTCCACTTTGACCTGGTCCTCACAAGTGGCTTTGCATTAAATTTACAGACCAGCAGCCAACTCAACTCAACTCAAAATCGTGTACAACTTTCAAAAATCATGCTTAGAAGAAGTACAAGCAGCTCGAATTCCGAACACAATCGACTATCTAATAAGAAGAGAATCTAAAATGGACAAGAAATCCCCTGTCCAAGAGTTACTCTGGCTAATCATGATCGATAGACCAACGTTCAATTCTTGTTCCTCGAGGTTACACAACAACAAATTAGTGACTCTAGCACATACAGACGAACAGCACGCTAGGTGACAAGTACCGCTTGTGATCACCTCGTCTACGCTATCACTATTATCTCAGAACCATATGAATCCCCTTACATGCAACAAATCAAGGCAACCAAAATTGGATCGTCCCTTCCACTGACACCTCTTGATTGCTACGGATTACTTCACGATCTCCAAATACCGCTGAATCAAATGCTCAGCCCAGGAGATGCAATTATTCCAAATCACCAGTTCGGAAAATAGGTTGAATATTCCACTCATCTCATTCTAAAGCATCCTACAAAACAGAGTGCTACTGTGGTGCAGCAATAATTCAAATTCAACTCTGACGGTGACGAGACACCAGAGCAACCCCCCCCCCCCCCTAATCGATCAATCCAATGCACAACAAAGTGAAAAATGCGGGGACGCAGAGAATCGTTCAATGAGGCCAGGGAGTGAGTGATTGCTGCATCTTCACCGATGCACACATGCAGGAATTCGTCCGCATGAAACTGTCTGCTCTCACGATTTCAGACTCATCAGTTATTGACTGTTTCCAGTGCAAGCTTCCAAAGAACCAGTCCCCCCATGCCTCCTCCTCCCCCCCTTTTCGTTCTAGTATCGTTCCATTTTCGTTCCCTTTTCGTTTCTTTATCGTTACTAAAACTACGGCCCTGTCGACGGTCGTTCGTCGCTCCCCATCATTCGTCCATAGTTACATGAGAGTACTGGGGAACTGGAGAATATTAACATTTATTCAGGGATAACATTTATGAAGAGGTTGTACGTGGGATTTTATTTTTTATTCTATTTTAAATTCATTTATTTTAGTTAAATTTGGACGGTGTAAATAATCTTCTAATAATGTATATTGAGAAAAAAATGCTTACACAATTCTTAAGAGCAATTTCAATTCTTTTTAATACACACAAATATATTTCTATCTGATTGCATGGAATTTTATTTCAATAAACTAGTTTTGAGAGTGGTTGAAAATTGTTTTAAGAATACATGAACAAGATAGAGACACCTTCTTGTTAGCATTATTTATCAATAGTTGGAATTTACAAGGTTTCTATATAGACCTAATTCACCCATCAATTCATAATTATAACACAATTATTGCTAATGTGGCTTGAAATCTAGCTATTCCAATTTGGAATTATTTAGGTCTTCTTGTACTGATCTATAAGAATAGAAAAAGATACAACTTTTATGAATGGCTATTTTTGTTGGTTTGATGGTTTTTTCTTCTAAACATGTCAATTAAGATTTGAAATAACATGAAATTAAAAATTGAAGACAAACATTTTTTCTCTTGGAACAGTGATTTGAATATATATATATATATATATATATATATATAATATTTTATAAAATATTTTATTATTCTATCTATGAATATTTTTAATTTTTATATTTTCATTCAATTTACATAAAAATATTCTTTGGCATTAAAATTTCATTTAAAAATATAATATATATTTCTAGGTTTAATCTTATTGAAAATATCAAAGTATTAATAAATGTCGATGATTGCTTTAAAGTCTTATTCACACATTCTTGTACTAAAGATATTTTTTGAAATAGTATGTACAACACTTATTTATATGAAATAGGTTCAATAATTTCATTGAGTATTACATAAACTAATGTATCAAATTTTAGGTGGCACATCTTTTTAGCTACCAAAACATGAGGAGAGCCAAAACATTTTATGGTATTTAATGCACAATTTGACAACCCTTCTTCTCTTCCTTTAATTCTTCTACCCTTTTCTCTTCCTCCTCTTTTTTCCCACTTATTTCAAATATACTACAACCACTTGGATGTATACTTCATCTTTTAAAATAAAATAAAAACTACATAATATGCTTCAGAATACTTTTAAAACATTAGTTAATAAATCATCTTAATATAATTATACTTGTACTACAAAATGATTATTTTAAGTTGCATATAAAGTTATTCTTTGTTTTATTTGTAATTTCTACTTTTTCTTTTTCTTTTTGTTGGATAACATTTCTTTGTCATAGTACCAATCCCACTCTCAGATTCATGACATTTTTTCCTATACACATTGCTATGCTGCAAGACCACTAATCACAAAGACCCTTTGCAAAGTGGTTAATACAAATAATCATCTTCTTCTTTTTCTTCTTTATGTTTCTAATCATGGGCAGCTCTTTCGGAGGGACCCCATCTATCAGTTGGATACAACGGGTCACTCACTTATGCGCAAATATTCAATTGAAGCAGAAGAAATAATCAAACAAGCTATTACAATAGCATCCATCCATACATGCACATTACATAGAGGCTGTCAAACTCTAATTTTTCACATCCATTTTCCTTTCTGAAAGGGAGGGTTCAGAGCATATATATATATATATATATATGTGTGTGTGTGTGTGTGTGAAGGGTCTGCAATGGGGAGGAGATGCTGCTGTGGAACGGGTGATGGAGGTGGGTAGTTCGGAGAGTACTTAACACGGAGCAGGCCGCAGTGGAGCCATGCGAGCATGCGAGTTTCTCGGGCGCTGGCACGTCAGTCATCGGTAAAAACTGCCTCGATGCACCGCTGATCATGAAGTAAAAATTCGATCGATCACGTTGCAGACGCGGGTTCCTCCCCCAACTGATGCAGGCAAGCAGCTCCCCACCAGCTGGAATAGCTCAGTTGGTTAGAGCGTGTGGCTGTTAACCACAAGGTCGGAGGTTCGACCCCTCCTTCTAGCGCCTCCCGGGACAAGCCTGGATCCCCCTGTCGTTTTGAAAATCTTCCGTACCAGTGCATCCTTCATCTCCACGCTTTTGGGCTCCCTCACTACATTTCCAGCACAGACGACGCCGCCATTGTGCTCCTCTTTGCCCCAATACCCCCTTTCACTCCCACAAACATGCATCCTACCCTGACACCCACCCCTCTCAAAACTCCTCACCCGTTGTATTGAACTGACCTTGCTCACTCTGCATGTGAATCAGAAACTTGGAAGGTTGTATGTACCACTGTTAATATTGTAGCTACGGTGAGGCATTTCAAAACCATTCGAGTGTGTGTAGGTAGAGCATTAGTTTCTGAATAGTTATAGCAAGCATTCTCACTCTCTCTCCCTCTCTATCCTTATGTGTGTGTGTGTGCACATATGAATATATCTATATCTATAGATATATATAGATGATTACACACTTATGTCTTCAAATTACAGTACCTCTAGTGCAATACTGAAATTTACAAAGGGCAGGTGGTACGTAGTCGATTGGGATCGCCGAACTCCTCTTGCCCACCCTACCGTGGAGAGGTCAGAAATTCAAGTTAGCGAAAAGAACCTCCAATTCCTCACCCTCAGCCGTCGTGCGCACCTATCACCCAAAACAAAAATTTATCAATGAGTCCATCGGGATCGGAATGTATTTTGCCGAACCCTGCACATGTATGTGCGCACATAAACCGCTTTGCAGAATTATGCAACCCGACTTCATGCACGAATTTAACGACCAAGAGTCGAATCACGAACACCCACTCAAAAAAGAGACCAGATCAACCACCAACTGAAAAGTTCGTGAACAATATTTAAGGAAGTGTCTATGTTTTCATGACGAGCGTGACAACAGCGTTGCATCTATTCGCCTCTCAAGGCTTTCATTTCCGAGTAAACTCTGCTGCTTCCGCATGCCTGGACTCACTTACAGTAAAACATGGCAAATCCAGAGCGGCTGAAAGTCCACAGAAGAAAAATCTCTCGCACACTCCACTCTTCCTACTTCCTGCATCATCTCCAATGCCACACTATTCGGGAAGGGAAGCTCCATGCGGAGTTCAAAAATCACGAACGGATTTAACACAGTAAGCGCCACAGAAAAAAAGCAGAGCACATAGATTATCAAACCAAGCAGCCTTCAAACTCGAGCCAATCGTCCGCAACGCTACACGATTACATTTCCACAAACCTTCCCAAGAAGCTGCAGTGCTTTATCAAGCATTCTGAAGCGATTCGTGGCGTAGGAGCTTCCTGAAGGGAAACGCTTCAAGCGCTGCATTTCGGCTTGCACGATCTTACAATTCTGCGCATCATCTCCCGACACTACCATCTTCTGCGCATCACCATTATCGTCATCTCCAGCGATGATGGGGCCTTGCGACCCGTGCGACCCTTCGATTTGCGCCAGCTTCTCGAAGACTTCACTGAATCCTAAGCTTTAACAACACCCCCGCCTTCCGAAAATTTCTAAGCCTTCCTGAATGCACCAAAGGATGGAGCTCAGCGGCGTGCAAAGGAAAATGGAACGACGAGCAATGGCAGGCGCTGCGTTGATGTTGTTAAAACGACGTTTGAAGGTCACTGGTGGCAGAAGGACGCGGTGCAGCAGCAGGGGTTGGGCCACAGTGCTGGTGGGTTGCATGGCTACGGATCGGTGCTTGTACAGACAGGTATACGGCAATGCTAACAATACTAGGGCCATCATTTTAGAAGACTGACTTTACAGTTTGGGTCTTGTGCCATGAGGATGCAGTTACGAGGATGAACAACAACAAGCTCACGAAAAACATTCGGAGACGTTCGTCCACGAGCCTCGTGATGAGGAAGGGAGTGGAAGGAGGAATAGGGATTCTTTGTGGGCGAGGAGGACCGAGAGATTCTTGAGGGACCAACGATGGATTGTACCCCGCCTTGCATTTTAGTTGGTTGGTGTTGTCATTCTCCCACACATTTCATTGCAGTGCTATAACCGCTGCTCAAATTGGTCTCCTCTTTGCACATTGCGGTGAAGTTCACAAAGGGTTGTAACGCATCCGTGAGTGTTTGGACCTTCAGGATGTCTTGTCTTTTCATCGTGTGGCACGGGGCTGTGGTTTCATTGTCGGCTACTCTTGTGGCAATCTGAGGCGTGTTATTGGCATGCGATTCGAGACCGTAATTCTTCTGTTTTCTGTTTTCTGTTTTCTTTTTTCTTTTGTTGTTTGTAGTTACGTTTTGCAATTTGTATTTGTCTTGAATAGTGGAGAAGGAAGAATCTGGAAAGTGGTTGCATTCTATTGATCGGGTTTTCTCATCTCGTAAATTATGAATACTTAAGCGGATTAATGTGGTGTGAGAGGTCTGTTGAGCGTTTTGGACTCACATTGTCTGAAGCTTGACAAGGGAAAACAACTTGCTTAAGACAATTCTTTACTGAGAATCACAGGTTGGAAAGTGGGTGCCGCAGTTGATATCTCGTCTTGATCGACTCAGATCGCGTATCTTGAGAGATGGGCGGCTCCGATAGTGAAGGATACGATAGTGAAGAGCTCGACTTCGACGAGTTAACTGAGGCACATGGGGAGGCCTCGGCGGGTCTCAAAGACGGAACACTGAAATTCGCAAATGTCGACGGCACATTCAGATGCCCCTATTCGCCAGCTCGAAAGAAGCAGGACTACAAGTACCGTGAAATATTACAGCATGCTGTGGGAGTTGGTGCTGGGCACCGGGGCCCTGTAGCTGCTGGGCAGCATCGTGCCTTGCGAGAGTACCTGGAGAAGGATGTTGCTGCCAGGGCACAGCCTCAGGCGGAGCGACCATTACATTTGCAGCTGCAGCAAAATGTGCCGTGTAGGGTGGACAGCGAGGAGAAGCGGATGTTCTACCCTTGGATGGGCATATTGCAGAACATTGATAATCGGACTATAAGCCCAACCGATGGTTCCCGGATAGGTCCTTGTGCGGCCGACATTAAGGAGAAGCTCAAGGTACCAACCACTCTATGCTGGGACATTTGTAAACTTTCATGAAGTGTTCTGTACTTTCACCTCGATAAGAACCAATTTTTAAAAACCATTACGTTCGCCATTCAATATGCTGATTGCAGGCCTTCAATCCTCGATCGATTAAGGTGATGCATGATGATGGAGGGCACCTGGGTGTGGTTATCATTGGGTTTCGAAGCTCCATGGATGGATTTAAGGATGCTGTGGAATTTGAAAATAGTTTCAACAATGTGAGGCAAGGGCGGTGGGATTTTGAAAGGGACTCTCCGAATGGGTATACCGGCACACAATTGTATGGGTGGATGGCCACCGAGAAGGTACGTTCTTCGTCTGATGATTTTGATTTGTCGCAACTCGAGATGATATTCATGGCAGTAATGGGGACGCGACACTTTTGCAGGATGTCGACTCTAAGGAAGTCTTAAGTGAGCACTTGAAATTGAATGGTGACTTAAAAACCCTTCCAGAGATTGTCTGGGAACTGGAACATCGAACCCAGCAGCGAACACAGATCCTCAAGGAAGCCCTGACCAAAAAGGACGATGACTTGCAAGTTACTCATGAGGAAAACTGGAGCTTGACAAACAGGGTACATAATGTTACGGCTCTCCTTGAACAAGCTCAACTGGAAAATCAGAAACTATTAGAAGGTTGCACAAAAGTTAAGATGGCAGTGCTTTGCTCTGATTAATCCGGACATCCTTATGTTATCGTCATGTACAAGAGACACATCATGAATGCTGAGAATGCTCGAAATGATATCAAAAAAAAAAAAAAAACAAAACAAAACAAAACAAAAAACAAAGGGGGCAAGAGGTACCTAATAGCGACTTACATTTTTTTGCGCTCTACATCTGTTAGCCTTACAGATGTTCTCTGTAGAACTTGTAGTTCAGTATGTAGCTATATATACCACTATCGTCACACAACCAGGCCGAACAGGAAAGCGCCGAAAAGTACACAACAGGCTTTTCGATACTGTTGAAGCTTTTCTTTCGCAAATTTGGAAATTCGCCCATTAGAACAGCAATGAGATTGCTGGAATATCCACTCCTTCCCAACTATACAGTATCAGCTTTAAACAAGAGTGTCTGAGTACATGTATATCTGCAAATAGAATTTTATCTGCAGTTTGCTCTGCCAGATAACTCGAGCCATCACGTTGCGAAAGTTAAGACTGCCGTTTTCAATCACAGATATTTCTGCATAACTGATGTGGTTTATCGAGGATGGTTGCTTCTATATATATATATATATATATATATATACAGTGTGTTTGTGTGGAGTGAGGTCTGTCACACAGCAAATGAAGTACAATCTCTGTGAATGTGATCTCTGAGGAAACAAATACCGCTTTTAGAGTCTTACATTTACACTAGGGTACGTATCATATGCATGTTCAAAGCTTCACATGCCTTCCCGTGTTACGAATTGAACATATAATTGCATTGGGCATCCATAGACGGTGCAGAATACTACATTTAAAGTCGCATACCATCTCAGATCAGACTTAAAAAGTTTTCATGTTGAGTTCCACTTTTCAGACTAGTGTTTGATAATTTTGATGGATTTCTCATGCCGGATTTTAACTTGAAGAACCTGGAGTGATGAGACCACATGATTTCAAACTTGCTTGTCATTTATCGAAAGTAAGAGAAAACTTACGATACTTATTATCAATGAAGCATTTTGTTTATTTATTAACTCACATTGGTGGAGACCTATGAACAACGGTCGAAAGCCTTCGGCCGAAATCTCGCTCTTGCCGATTCTAATAAATTATATTCCAGAATAGGTTGCTTTGAAGGATAAGAACAAATGATAAATTAAAAAATTACATCTTCGTGAACTAGAACACTCTAACAAGGTTACTTTCTACAGTTCAGTACAGTAAAAACCTGCGCTTGTTCTACTTTTTGGTAACCGTGCATTGGCACGAAGAAAGCCCAAACTACGTTCTTTGATACAGAATTGAGCGAACACTACCAAAATATTCTCGGGTCGCACAAATGCGATTTTTGTTTGTAGAAGAATATTCTCGAAAATAAGACGACAGAAAGAAGTGATAAAGAACTTTCCCTTTCACCTCCGTCCAAACAAGCTCACCCCGGGAAATGAAACCCACTTGCATGAGCTGAATTTAACTTTCAACCCTGCAAATTGGACTTGAGAATATCACGAATCAGGATCAACTTGTTCTGATGTCCACCAGGTCGGGGCAAGTTATAAAACACTACAGGAACTACTATTAATGGAACATAGCTGATGAGGTTTGTACTACAGACTGACCACTTAACCCCTCCCCTTGCCACGGTACATCTCAGCTTCTGCGTACGCTTTGTATGGATCTTCCCAATTAGGATCGTCACGTGCGGCTTTCACCCACCGTCTCTGAAAAGTTATCAACTCTAAACTTGATTTCTTGCGTACCTGTTGGGCGTGAGATTGAAGGTTTAGAAGATCGTAGTAGAGAACAAAATATCGTAAGAGTACCTTACTCCACGCAGATAGAGATAGTGAGAACCCACAGCATACACAAGCATGAATAATCTAAACAGGACTTTAATGTAGAATGGGAAGAGAAGAGACACTGTACCTCTTTACGAGGATCATACACCTCCTGTGAATTACATCAAGGAAGCAGAAAACCACAAGAATTAAGAAAGTGTCAGTAACACACACGTATTCCAAGAACATATAATCGCGACAAAGGCCCGGCAAAAGGTTACCGTAAAGCCCGTTCCTGACGAGCCCTCCACAGAACGGATTTCAGTCATGAAATTAAACATGTTAAAAACTAAAAAATTCATGGAAAGCCCCCACCAGAGAGCTCTTCCATCAAGGCTAACATATCCTAAGAAATAACAAGAGTAACAAAGAATTACCTCTGACATGACTTCCTCAGAGTGTGGGTCATTCTCCGCAGGCGTTGTCTGAAATGACGTACAAGATTCATGAAGAAATTAATCAATTCCCAACAGTCGAGGAGAATCGACGAGGTTCGCAAACAGAAACTTTTGGCTATTTTCAATCCCAGTATCGGAACTGCCTAAAATGTACTCAGGACCAATCAAAGGAATCCACAAACATTTCTTTGATACACGATTTGCTTACTTTATTTACATGCGGGCCACCTAGGGAAGGAATGCCTTTGTGCAGAATGTACTCTGCATCAATCACACCCACTTTCTCGCTCCGCAACCCCTGACAACATCAACAAGCATGATCGCATGAAATGCCTTGGCTACACAATAGAGATCACAAGAGTGCTATTCTTTCGACATGAAGCATCTACTTTCCGTTATTGTTGCTTAGGTGATATACATACCTGAGCACAATAGCCAATCTTGAAGTCAATACCCCACCCATGAACCAGGTCATTCTGTTTCAATCTCATCACCACCAGAAATCATGAGAACTGAAGAACTTACAACCAACATTTATAGTACAGAAATTACATAAATCAGGATATCAATTCTAGAAAACTATCTTTCAAAACACAGATTGAAGAGCAGAAGCATAGTGACAGCATGATTGCGAAATGTGAGAGATCGATGAGATCGACGATAACTACATGATAACTTTTGAACCAAAAGTTAATGAATACCTGAATCATGTGCCAAACACACTTCCAAGCTGCCTTTGAAAACACAGGGGCCATGACTTCGACATATCTGCATAACGCGAAGAACAGTGGGGGGGTTTCTTAATCATGACGTGTCATATATTGTGGAACAACAAGGATTTCAATGCATACTTTCACCATGAGTAATCCAAACTAAAATACCCTCTTCTCCCAAGTGTATGTCCTTACCCTGTACATGGAACTGCTTTTCTGCCCGTTGGGCATGAGTTTGTCACAATTGACCTGTGTTACCACGGGAAAAAGGATATCCACATTTCTATAAATATCAAGTTCAACATATAAAGCCACGAAACTTTCAGATGTTTTGAACATGGAGAAAATTAAAAAGATTGAGGTACCGTTAAGACTTATTTGTGAGCGAAGATAAACTTTAAAGTGAAAAGTGAAAAGTAAATACTTGATTCTTGCTTTTTAATTTTTGATTATTATTAAATGAGGAAAAAGAAGTAATCAAAAGATAAAAGAGGATCATGAATTCTGTTGAGAGAGAATAAGAAGTTAAACGGAACGATCCACAATAATCCAGATCCACTAGAAAAAAAAATAACGAGAGTAAAACATACTTATGGGCAGTTAGGCGTGGATGACGGAGAGTGATCCTATGGTGGACTTCTGCCGAGTTAGGATCAAGAGCAGGTTGAGAGATTTCAAGACCCTCAGCCTTCATTATTTCCAAGTACCTGGAACACAAACGGACTTCATTAAGCACGGAAAAGCTTCCCAAAACTAAGGCAGCCCAGAACTGCGAAGGAACAGGTCGAGAGGCTCGCAGTTTTGTGCTCCACACTACTCGGAAAACCAAACAACCTCCAGGATATTATGTAGTGGATGGATCTAATCTCGTTCGGACCTTTCGGAGATGATAGTGAATAGTATCAATCAAAATTTTGCCTTAATATCAATATCTTTCAAGTAATGACAACACCCAAGTCAGAAACTGAAAATTTTACCTTTCGGCATGAAAATTCTCTACACCTAGGTCTTCGTCCCATAGGAAAATGTAATCGTACTGGTCCACAATGTCCGGGTGCATGAATCGTTTGGCGTACCACCTATTCACAGGGCCACCAGTGCTAACTGGTATTAGGATTGAGAAAGAGTTCTTCATGCGCACGATGCATCATGAGGCAAACCTACTTCCAGGTGCCGTCTAGATCGAGTTATTCTTTTCACAAATAAGACGCAGAAACTGGGCGATTTTTCGGCTACTAAGCAGTAATAGTTGGTTGAACAAGAGGAATAGTTTGTGTACCATTTGGTTTGATGCAAGGCAACAATATGTAAGGATTGATTACTCCAGGCAAGATCTTGCCACTGATCAACGACCCCATCGTAGTGGAACAGCATAATGGTGAATTTATTGAGTGGAAACTGGAACACAAAAATGACACTCATAAATTCTCGAATACATTTTTAATTCCGCGATTTCCGGTCTGACAAAATCAAGTATTAGAGGCTAACCTAGTAGTAAAGTCATAAATGTAGATAACCTCAAATAAAAGGACAACAAAAGAAATGAGTAAAATACCTTCTGGACGATGTCATCGACTACTTTCTTCTGCTTGATACCCACTGCCATTGCTAACAAATACTTTGTCATTGCCTTCTGAACCTGGATATGAAAAAAGAAAGCACCGCAGCTGAAAATCGGAACTACATGAAGATGATTGCAAGTAAGACAAACACAGGCGTGAACCAAAACCCTACTTGTCTCTCATCTTCTTCGTAAAGTGACCGCATTTGTAAATCCGTAGTGGCCACAATCATGCCACGCGGTAAATCTTCGCCGATCTGCTTAGCACATGGCACTCTTGTTTCATCGCCTGTCGAATTGCTTGTTGGATTGTTAGTTGAGTTTCTTGGTAAATCACATAGATGGTTGGCCTTCACAGATGATCCATCAGTCTGCACATTAGAGGAGTAGCCTCCACTGTCACAATGATCTCAAAATGACTCTTGACACAATTTCTATTACCATTGTACAAAATATCTTCTATTATTTGAAATACAAAGGCAATTCCATTCCAAAGGCAATCAATCCGAAAATTTCTTGCAAACTTCAAAACCAAGATGCAAAGCGAAGCTCGATTCTCGAAGTCGAACGAAACACAATCTAAGAGGAAAAGCAAGGAAAAAGCTTGAAGCTGGACCTTAAAAGAGGCAGCAAATCTATCCATGATTGAATTCTGCAAAACCACAGATAACATTCCTCCATCATTTACCTCCATTGCCTCTGAACGCAAAGACGACCGAACAGTAACCAGTCTGCCAACTTAACCGTTCCGCTGCAACAGTGATCACAACGGGCTCAGTCGCCCTTGTGAAAAGAGTATCCAGATCAAGGCCTTCTAAGAGATAAACTTAGTAACAAATAATGATTGCCACCAATTCACTCGCAACGTGCAAAACAATCAGAAAGGGGTGATGAAAATTCACATACCATACTCAATTGTTCGTTCAAAAATATAGTGCTTAAAAGGAGGGTGAGGCCGACGATAAGTGTGACATAAAGAACGTGTTTCGACTGCGAGCAAAAGCTCCGCCATTTCGATAATGATGACTGTTGAACTGATCGCTGCCGCATCACAGACAAGAAATAGAGAATTACATAACGGGTAACAGTCAAACTCGGAATTTTATTGCTGCATCATGGGCATTCGTGATTGCAACTACACGCACGCTAGCATCTCAGCACAAACCAACAAGAGCCACACCATAAATCAAATTCAAGGATGTTTTTCCCCAAATTTTTGAACCTTCTCTACCCAATATCCTCCAGTCTTGAAGTCTTTCTACATTTGGTGATGAACTGCTTCTTCGTAAGAAACCTTGAAAGATTTAGAGATGTTCAATTTAGGAGAGAGTGAAAGCAGTGCTCTTTCGAAAAGTTTTTTTTCTTTTTTCTTTCTCTTTTTGCTTGTGTAGCAAAATAAATCCATGATTTCGAAAAGAGTAAAGGCGTGTAGACAGACGGACGGTCATTAGACAGTTCGAAAACGAAATGCAAGAAAAATGCAGCAAGCAACAGCGGGCGTGGCTACGCGAATAACGCTGACACAAAAATGAATGAGGTCTAACCTGCTCAGCGTGAACAGGAAAATGGTGAGTCACTCCCATGAGCGCCATCGCAAGACCAGGGTTGCTTTTTCAACAATTCAAGTTCGACGTCAAGTGGGTCACTGTCCCGGGACCAACCCGCACACTCTATCTGTATACGACATTCTCGAATTCTGCTCAAATATGCCCCGGCCTACCCTAACCTTGAGTCACTGAGAACACGGTTCACGGTGCTGAGCTTCCAACCGGACCAAGCTCTAAGACAGAAAACCGGCGTTGGTTACGGGATACACTCCCACGGGCGTTACGTCACTCCAAGAAGTGAACGTCCTCAATAGGCCGTTGTCTAAGCAATCAGTATGTCTAAGCAACCTCCTCTTCACCAGGAATTAGCTTGTCCTCTCCTGAAAATCCCCCTTATGCTCCGCCTCATCGAAAACTCCAGCACAAATATTACGTTCTACACTAGACCGTAGGAAAATAATTGCACCACAGCACCTCCGCAAGCCCTGATAACTTCAGTTCGTTTCCTAAATTTGATAGGACTTGCCAATCTCCCCGGAACGGAAACACAGACAGACGGCCCAGCGCAGCTTTCCTAGCCTCCCAATTCCGATCCCTGCCGCACCAAATTTGAATTCCCCTTTCCGCCGACCCTCCGCTACTGAGCTCCACGAAACTCCCTCTCTCTCCCGCTCTCTCTCCCTCGCTCTCACTCAATGCACTCTTCACACAGCTCCTCTTCAATTCCCGCTCGACTCAAACTCCCATGGATCGAACGAACGCAACAATAGACGATATCGACATCCAGCAATAATCAATCCCGCTCGTCACCTCCGCAAAGCCTCGCACAATCTACACTTTCACACAACTATTAGTAGTCCAACAAGTGACATTCTTCAGTCTCCCCAATACTCACTCGACTGCGTCCAGATTCGTCGTCGTCGTCTGATTCTTATTCCACTTCTCCGTTTTTTCTTCGTCGTTGTCGGCGACGTCGTTCGTTCGTTCGCAACAGATATAGATAGCACGGGGAGTGGGGGCAGCCATGCAAAGATCTTCGTAACGCGACAGCGATGCGGCGTGAGTCTCAGCGTGGCGAGGGTGGGGAGATTCTGGCGTCCGTCCCTTCCGTGGTTTTGGCCCGGCCTGGCCTATCTTGCACTACGGTTGGGGGATCTGGCCCGTCCCCGACAAACCACGGCTTGTGATTGAAGTCATCTCTGGTCAACACGCCTCCATCTGTCCATCCATTTTCATCCAACCATGACCTCACACTTTCGTCTTTTATGGATGAACGTACCCCATCATCTTCATCATCATCATGAGAAAGTAAAAGCCACATTGCGAATATTCTTTTGTTCCCAACTCAAAAAACACTTTAATTCTTCTGGTACCATTCTGTTTGCATGAATGAAGAAGGAGGATGGGGCGGATAATTGTTCTTTTTTGTTTTTTTATGAAAATTTGTGTGGTATTGTGCTCTCCTTTGCCAAATATGGGGTTTGTCAGAGCACATGGGGGACTGAGGAAAGCATTGCTCATGCAACAACGTTAAATGTGCACTCATTCAATATTGTAATATTAGAAAGTCCCAGTCATTATCATCACCTTCCCACCCCTCTCCTTCAATTCTTCCTTCCTTTACCCCTTACAATGGTACAGTGCCAATATATCACTCTCACACCACCCATAGTATAATAAAAGAGTGGCATAGTGTGGTTTTTAGCTATGCTTCCCAACACATGAAAAATGTCACATTCTCCAGTAATGTAAAATAAAATAAAATATCACACTTCCACATCCATTTCCCCATGCAACACGGAGAAATCTTCACACTGCTCCATTCACCACCTCAATTGGCACCCTAGAAACCTCAAGGGCTGATGCACAGAAATGGAAAAAAGAGGTAGTGTTGGAATTTTGCGTTTTTCAAACACAACAATAATGGTGAAAAGGCTCTTTTCAAAAATTTGCCCACCCCAATCATCAAAGTTGCATGTGGGCAAGTGTCATGTTCAGCAAAGAAAAGGGGCACCCATTCCAAGTGCCAGAATTTGTCACTCTCTCTCTATCTATCTCTCTATATATAGAACAGTCATTGTGGGATTCCAGCCCTGCTTATCACATGGACCAGAAGGGTGCAGAATCCACCTCTCACTTTGCCGTAATGGCACACAAAACAAGGCACAACCCATGTACTAGTTTGTCTTTGTTGCCCTAAAAATTTTGTTTTTTTAATCCTATATTAATTTGATTCTTTGCTTTACATCTTGTGCTGAGTTTGTGGAGGTGGGGGGCTCAGGCTATCTAGTAGTAGTAGTACTGCTACTACTAGAAGACCTATTGAGAGACTTGTACTGCTCATGGACCACACATGACCATCACAAGTGGTATCATAGATAACAATAAAACATTGAATGGACTAAACCCAAACTCTATCCAACACTACCCTGTGTTGGATGAATGCATGGGGATGAATGTGGGTGCGATTTCGGGATCAATGTTGATTCATCCGTTGAATGCAAATATTGCCCAGTTGCATGAAAACTTAGCTTTGTCCTCCACATGGCAAGGGCTATTAATCATTCTACTAATAACAATTTTAATGGGCTTTTTTCCATGAGTGTGGTGCACTTCTAATTGTCACATATGGCATGTACTTTAAAACAATTAGACACAATAGGAGCAATATTTGAATTACAATATATATATATATATATATAAAGTTCTTGGATTTCATTAATTCTATTACTTTGTTTTTTATGTATAATACATACATAACAATATTAATGGAGTAATGTACACATTATGCTTCCTTCAAACACTATCAAAAATAATCACATTTTACAGATGAAACCATTAATTAGATTAAATAGAAAATTTTGAAAATAATAAAAATAATAAAATAATAAAAAATCACTTCTTATTACTTTAGAGATTGTAATCAATTATAATTTACAGAGAAGAAAAATAAAATAAAAGGAAAATAATTTAAAAGAAGTCACTAGAGATCATGAAATAGGTATAAAAATGTAATGAAAAATTCATGTGTATCATTTAGTGCAAATATTTACATCTAAAATTAGTATACACACACACACATACATATATATATATATATATATATGTGTGTGTGTGTGTGTGTGTGTGTGTAAGAAATCTCTGTATATTTATTGTGTTATAAATAAATTACATGAGCTATGGATATTATAACAGAAATTAAAATACAGAATATTAATGTACCATGTTACAAAAGTATGAAAGCACTTTAAATTCTTAAATAGCTACAGTTCACAAGTGGCTTTTCAATATTTTTCTTCCACTAGTACGTCTTCTACGGTAGATTTATTTTGAAAATGTTCTCTTATTCTGATTTCATAATATAAAATTAATTCGTTTTTTTTGTAATTAGAGAAATCCTTGAAGATGTTCTAGAAGGATTTAAAAATCTCAACATGCCACTTTCATACAAAACTGTCATGCATGTCTTTTTTTATTTTAATTTATTTTTTTATTTTCCTTCTTCTTCTTCTTCTTCTTCTTTTCTTTTTAAATTATTTTTTCAAACATAATACGACAGCTGTCTTTGCATTATAAATACTTAAATAAAATTTAAAAAATGATAGTTAATAAATTCTGTGAATTTAATTCATACACAATATTATCAAAAACATGTTCTTCTTGAAAAGCACTTTCAGAGCTTGACACATTTTTCTTACTTTCTTGTTGTGACATAAATTTCTGTGGATAAAAGTATTCAAGACTGAACAATTTCTTCATGTTAAAAAATATTTTTGTATAAACAATCAACGTTCCAATCCTTCTTTTTTTTTTTTTTTTTTTTTTTTTTTTTGGGTGCTTGGAACAAAATATGCACATGACTGAAGAGATAATAAACAATTGAATTGTAACTTCATTACTCTTATCATTGGACAAACTTTTCACCTTTGCATGTTTCAATTTCCTCGTCCTGATGGTATGAATTTTTAATACTTTTACATATTTAAAAAGTAGTATATACGCCATGGAAAATAAATCCTAGAATCTCATTCATCACATCAACAGATATTTCACTACATTTGTTGTTAAACAAACATCATGATAAAAGCATGTCCATAATCGTCTAGAAAATTGAATGCTATGTTCCATAAGTTGCACATTATTGCAAAGATTTAATGCCATCATTACATGGAAACAACCGTTATTGCAAAAATAAGTCTAGTGGGGGGGATCTATTTCTCACCTGTCGCTTAAAAACAGTAACCCTGAAATAAACGGCTCATGAAACATGAAACATTTATGAGGGCAGATTCTTCCCTTAATTTAGGGTTCACGCCCTAAATCCAACACCTAGTTTCTTTAGCTATGGTGCCCACAGATTGATGTGTGATAAGACAAAGATTAGAGCAGATCTACGCCCTGAAAAACTGAGACACAGTCTTCTCTGCTTTGGAGGGCAGCCTTGTGTTAAGAAAAGCAATGAACTGTTGTTGGGTTGGCCGCAGCAGGCAACCGGCGAATTCAAACCAACACTTGGCTTCAGATCCAGATCTTAAGCTAGGATTCTACAAAATATAGGTATTATTCACTCTATTACATGAAACAACATTCTTAATAAGTGTTCCGTTTATCGTCTAATCTGGGTAATTTACCTCCATTCCAGACAGATCTGCTGCAGGCAAAATATAGCCTTTCAATGATGTTGAATATGGGAAGACCACCTGGGGAAGCTGATTCAGGTGATGAATTTACGAGCACCCCCGGATTTGAAACCCCTTGTGGTTGTTAGCTTATTATGGAAGTTTGTTTGTTTTAAAGATCCAAATCATTGCGATCTGCGTGCAGTGAGTTTATCGCTTCTGGAAAACAGGGTCGGCGCTGAATTTTAGTTGTGGCGTTGGTCTTGTGAATGGTTCAGCATTGCCATTAAAGGCAGAAAAAGAGCGTGTTGATATTCCCAGTTGCGTCTTCTGTTGGAAGATGCCCCCTTACTATATGACAAGTGGGGTTTTGCATTGGATGTAAAGACCTTCGGGATTCGTCTCCTTCCTTCATTCTATCTGTTTCAGTAAGTTTACGATCGGTAAAAGGGTCGGAGGGTGGAAGACAGAATTAGAGTTATACCTCTGGAAGGAATCAGGTGATGTATTAACACAAAAAGATACAACACGGACGAGGAAGTTTAGGAAATCTAATGCAATTGTGTGTAGAAGCAAGCCAGACATTCCCGTACAGTTCGTCATTTCTCCGACGATGTCAATACTAGTAGAGCTTCATTTGTATTCAATGATCAGAATCTCCCAAGAACCATCACAGTCTACGTTGTAGTTTTTTTTTTTTTTTTTTTTTTTTTTTTAAAGACAAGGCCTCATGGCAATCCTAGTTTTTAGTGCTCAAGTCTTCGGAGCGATGAATACATACTCCCGTCATTAGTATGCGTGTAAAAAGGAATACATGTAAGCATCGCTGAGAACTAAAACTTTCAGTGAATATTGAAAAAAAGGGATATTCGCCTAAAAAGGGCGATTCAAGTCCCCTACAGTTACGGGAATATAATGGCATCTGAATAAATAAAGGGACAATATGTGACCTTCGAAACTTAAAATGAAATGAAGCATCAATTTGAAATCTGTCTTTCCTTCACAAGCAACAGGTCGCCTTAAAGAGAAACAAGTTTTCAGGTTGAAGTACAACAAGAAAATGATAGAGAGCATGGTTGCTTTTGCTCTCCAAGCATAAATCCTAAGTCCAATGAATGCAGTTACAAAGCATACCCATGCACTTAAGGCTTAATTGCAACAGAAACTAATTTTTTATCACAAAGCGCTTCCCACTGTCTGACGGTCAGGTGAGACGCAATCAAGAGAAAAACCACCTGCGTGAAAGGGTCAAGATGAGGTAAATTTCATTCAGAAAGGTGTTAGTGAGGCTTCAAGAAAGCAATAATAATCTACTCCTCACATGGAAGCGACCACAATTCAAGGAAGGTATGCACTGCGTGTGTTTTTGTAACCTAGGGAGGATCCACGATTATCAGAGAACAGAAACTGCCAGGAAATGATCAAACAGAACACATTTCATTTTTATAATATTCTACACATCGCAGGATTGTGCTTTTAAAAGACGTCATACGACAACAACATCACACCAGGATCTCCACATGTGTCTAGAGTTGCTTACTTGGGTTTTGGCCTTTCTTATCAAACATTACGACGGTTGCTGACCTCCGACACTCTCACGGGGTAAAAATATGGATGTGCCTGCAAGAGAAGAACCCTAAATTTAAGGACTGACATAGAGGAAAGCCCTCAACATCCTATTGGACTGAGTCTTGGACAAATGACAAAGGTCACTCCAAACAAATTATAATAAGCTCTGCTTCAAGATTCATTGCACATTATCACCACATCATGGAGTAGAGGCTAAACACATACCATGGCCTCCCTGGCCGTCAGCCTGTCTTGGTGGTCGTAGCGTAAAAGCTTATCCAAGAAATCCACAGCCTGAGGATATTAAACGAAGGCGAGTGCATCAATATAAATAAAACTTGACATACGATAATAACAACACAATGATATGCAAAAAGAATATGTGAAGAAAGAAGCAGATAATCAATGACGTGCTGAACAACCACATTTTCAAATCCATCTACAACGCATACCTCTGGTACAACCAAGTGCTGATTATCAGCATTGATAAATTTCGACCAAGGTTTCCTGTTATTTCTGATGGGACCAACAATGTACCGGTGAGAAAAGTCTACGGGCAATTGAACATCTCTTACCATTGAGTCAACGAGTCATTCAGTACAGCTGCAAGGTTATGACAACATCTATACTGCAACTTTGACTTTACATGCACTAAAATAAAAACCTTCTGGTTTGCCCATAGGCCTGAACACAAACCTGCCAACCAACGCTTCGAGATGGGGATCTAGTTCCAGTCGGTATTTGTTCAAATATGAATTTAACTCATCTGTACCCAGCACCTGATTTCAGGTAACAACAAAGATTAGATTTAGAACGAAGATTTAAACATGGCCTTGAGAAACACAGGAGGAGAAACGATTCAGAAAAATTACGAATGAGCAGTGACTGATTGAAGGCTGATAGTAAATGAGATTTCCGAGCACCTTGGCAATCTTCACAAGCTGATCATAATTGTCATGTCCATAAAAGAATGGCTCCTTCCGAAAGATCTGCAACCACGCAATCTCTTCAGCATAACGAGAAGTACTTCAGAATGAAAAAATCGCAGATACACATCATGGGAAAACTGTAAATAACGAAAGATTAGTGTTAAAATAAACTGCGAGGATACGTTACCATGCCAGCAAACATGCATCCCAAGCTCCACATATCAAGGGAGTAGTCATAATCTTGGAGATCCACCAGCAACTCAGGGCCCTTGAAGTATCTATTTCCCAAAACCAAAACAAGTTTTAAATGGCAAGAAAAAAACAGCATGAAGTTGACAACGCATTCAGAGTACCTACTGGAGCATGAAAGAAATAAGTAATAATAAAAATTAATTGAGGTATTCAGCTGATATTATACATTCACCCTAGTATTCACAAAAAAGCTACTCAACACTACACTTAATACAACTTCCGTCACATGAATGTTGGCATCAAAATAAAAGGTTCATTTCAATTCGACAATAATCCACTCGCAACAAAAATTCACTTGCTTCATGGAGCGAAATTCAGACGAGCAAATTAATAATAATCCACAGTAACCACTACATTCTATGATACGATTTCTTGAAATGAATCCCTCGTTAAGACAGTGCCACGAGAAGCCTTTAGAACTTACCTGGAGGCAACACGCACATTATATTCTTTGCCAGGGTGATAGAACTCAGCGAGTCCCCAATCAATCAGTCTCAGCTTTCGTTGCTCGTGGTCAATCATTACATTGTGTGGCTTCACATCCCTGTGCATGATCCCTTGAGAATGGCAGTAGTCCAAAGCCTGCAGTGATAAAGCCATCAATAATCCAAAATTGAAGGGTAAAGTAGAAAACCGAACTTCATTTCCTTTCTATTCGTTTTTTTTATTGGCGGTGGTGGGGAGGATAGAGAAAAGGCAAAAAAGTTAAAAAGATAAAAATGAATATAGATAGCAAGTCACACTCAGAAACGTGAGTCTCCAATCTGTGTCGACCCAAGCTTTAAGAAAAAAGATGAAAAAAATTACTCACCTTGAGTAGCTCATGAATGTAGTAACGAATGTCAAAGTCTGTCAGTGTAGGGTAGAGCACTTTGAAATCCGTGTTGTTCACATACTCAAATATAAGACTGGGTGTCTTTGATTGCTGATCTCGAACGATGTCCAAAAGCTTCACAATATTGGGACCCCCACAGAGGTTTTGCAGGATCTTGATTTCTCTTTTGATCTGTCGAAGTCCCCACATGTGATGTCAACTCACACATGTTTCACCATTAGAAGATAGCAAAATATATTTTAAGACACCACATTCATCACAATATCTATAGTCACTGCAGCTAACTAAGAAATACGCTGGTTTCAGCAACAGCATGATCCACTAAAGTATTCATTTCAACTTCACTGTCTGAATGCTGTCATACCAAAACGCGAAAAAATAGTAAAAAAAAACTACGGTATCAAGTGTGACTTGATGGAATCTCACAGTTGAATGAGAACGTTAACAATAGAAACCACCGACAGCCACTTTGTCGTAAAGCTTGCCCAAGAAATTGCTGGAAAACCATAAACGACTGGCTCTATCAAGGATGCAAAATGCATCAGATGAAGAATGTTGGGTACCGAAGCTTGGTACCTTTTTTTTCTTCACTGGCTTCAAAATCTTAATAACGCAACGCTCACTGTTCACGGCGTGAACACCTTCAAAAACCTCACTGTATTTCCCCCGCCCTACTTTACGTATCACCTCGTAATCGTCTTGGTCTCTGGAAGCCAGTAAAAATGATCAGAGCAGCAGCAACAGATACATGCAGTTCTCTTGTAAAAAGTTACTCAACTATAAAGGGCCATTCTGTAAAGAGACATCAGACAGAATCTGAGTGAGACTTAAGTGATCCAATGACATAGACACTCTGGATCGCAATAACGACCTTCGCATTCACAATAAGTTGAATTCCTCAATAATTCATGAACCTACGATGCACGATGTTTACTGTCTGTGCAAAGGACATAACACTGCGAAGGCAGCAATTTACTCTCAGTAAAAGAGACGAGAGCAAATAAAAGCACTTGACATCAAACAACAATGCTAATAAAGAGATACTCGAATCATTGATTTATACAACATAATAATAATCTTTTTATATTCACTTAATTTGGAGTTCACAGATTAGTAGATCAAGAGCTAACATGAGAGAAATTGAGAGCTGAAGTTTCTTGTCAAGTTGGCTAAAGATTAAGGCGAAAATGGGGCTGCAAGAGAATAATAATAAAAAAAGAGACAAAACCACATCCTAGTGTTCTATCACTATCAGAAGAACTGTTAAAGAGAAAACCTAAGAGTTTGACAGATATATTTGAGTCAATATATAACTAACAGAAGTCTGCCGAGCTTGCTCCATTCAAACGTCCCGCAACAATTCAGAATAGGCCCAGGATGCACGTCGCATGAAACAGAGGTGAATTTCATCTATGTAAATTTGAATTCCTACACGAAAGAGCTTCGTCAAGTAGAGACATCCCTAAGAGACCTAGGGAAACGGAATCATAAATGCAGCGAGGAAGATAGTAACGGAGCATACCCCCATTGAACGGTAAGAGCCTCGTAATCCCAATAATCTTTCGGCCGCTGAACATTCACATCCGTGTAAACTCGGGCCTTGGACATAACACCTGGCCGTCGGACCGATTTCCCAATCTTCTGCGCCAGATTGACGAACAGGTAGGGACGCTGGGAAAATCCCCTTCAAAAGACCTCCGAATCCTCTCTCCCACTCTCTCCTCCCGAATCTTCCTGCCACAGGCTCCCAATACCAGCAGAGATATATGTCTCGCTTACTCAACCCACAAAAAAAAAAAAAAAAAAAAAAAAAAAAAAAAAAAAAAAAACGCCGCGTTCTCACAAACCACCGAATCTAGCCAGGAATGGCATTGATCCTGCTCCGCAACACCTCTGTTCTTAGTTCAAGCGAATCCCACCTTTCTCAAACCAAACCCTATTCCCATTAACCACCAACACCTCGGGACCCTTGAAAGATCCCGTTCAAAATCTTCACCTCATCCCACACACTTTCTCGGCAAACACTGGATCTCACAACTTTCACGACCCCACTCCCGACTCAGCCACCGCAACCAACGGTCTCATTTACTCAAATCTCCACCGATTTACCTCAATTCGGGACCAAAAACAGTGGTTCAGGGTGCAAAAGAAAGAGGGGCCGACGACGAACCGATTGAACTCCACAAATGGTGGTAACCTAGGCCACAAATCCGGCCCCAATGAGTGAGAGAAGCTGGATCAGAACCAAAACGGGGGGGGGGGGGGCATGAAGGAATGGGTTCGAGCGGAAGAATGAACGCCGGTGCCATTCTAGGGCTTCGGGTGGAATGTAGATGAATGAAAATCACTCTTTATGGATGATAACACGATGCGATTTATTTCATTCGTTCTCTTATGTCTAATCTTTTTGCTTTTTTGAAAGCCTTTCTAACACTTGGCAGTTGGGATTTCCATGCCCAAGTTCTAAAAGTTAAACCCATTAATTGCTTTTTGTGGGTCACCTTCCTCGCCATGCAGTACTTTTATTAAAGTGATATTAAAAGGGATACATTTTCCCTTTCAGAAAAAAGGTTGTTTATTGAAACCTTGGGAGCATTCTTTTTGTAAACATGGGCTTGGAACTGAATCTAAGCAACCTCTTAAAAGTGGAAGTTTTTTGAAAAAATATTCTTTTTGCATTTAGGGTTTGATTTTTATTGTTACTTAGAGTGACGAGTTTGTATATTTTTTTTAGAATGTTCAAGATATTTTACTCAATTCATGATGCAACATAAGATGAAGTGTGCAATATTGTTATCATAATTGTGAATATTTAATTCACATTCTTGTTTAATTAAGTTTTGAATATCATTCATTTGTAAATTAATAATATTAGTAGAGAGGATAAAAATGACATGAAAGAAAGAAATATATACTTGCATAATACATTATTTGTCCTTAAATTGTTATTGGATAGTGTATTATCTACAAGTTTAAATTGACAAAATCTCAAATTAATTGCATTTAGCAACATTTATCTTCAGTAATATTTTTGTTGTTTTTAAGTTACAAAAAAGAAGAAGAAGAAAAAAAATATCATAATCAGAATTTATTATTACAAATCACCAAAACATATGACTTAAATTAATCAAATACCAATGTCCATGCTTGTTGAAACAACCATAATTTTTAAAAAGAGTTACAAATAGAGCCTTAAAAGAAGAAAAAAAGGGCACAGAATACAAAGGAATCCACCTTCTTTTGAGGAGATATATTAAATATAACTACACAACAACCCATCAAATCTACAAGTTTTGCAAAACTATGATTAATATTTTTAAAGGACAATCTGATTTTTACCACATGAACCTGTTTCCAGTGTGCACAGTTTGCCATCACCTTACAGTTGCAAACCTATCTTCATACAGGTACCTTGATATTGAGGGATTTACTGTTAAGTCATCACATCTATTTTCTTTGTATGCCTGCACAATGTTAGGAACACCAATCCGAACTTATGAATACCAAAACTGAAACTGATGATTTCCATTTTTTGTTGGAAGTGAAGAATGCTGGTTTTTTAGTTTTCTTTTTTTCTTTTTTCTTTTGTTGAGAAAGCATATTTTACCTGGTGGGCGTCATTGAAAATTTCTTGCCGTAGCCGAGGTTTACAGGATCTGAATTGTGCTCTTTGCTCTGTCAGAAACTCTTTCTGAAGCAGAGAACAATGACCCAGTTGAAGATTTGCAGAAAAAAGTGTGAATGATCGATTAAAGATGCAAAAATTAACTGGTGGAACAAAAGGATAATATATATATATATATATATATATATATATATATATATATATATATATATATATATATATATATATATGAACTAACCGGTAGTTTGTCTCTATGGAAGCGGCCATTAATGATGTCCTTGCTGAAAGTTGCCATAGCTTCAGGTTGAAGTGGTCCGCTGTTTCGAAAACGAGGTGGCACCTCATTTCCAGGTGCCAGTGGCCCGGAGATTACATTTCTCTCTGAAACTGTATGAATCAACGAAGAGAATAGAGTTAGACTTATCAACGCTACCTTTGAAACAAATGGTGTTGAAATGATGTTGTAACTTGACCTCAGGATTTTCAAATCTGGACTCGTATATGTGCAGGTAAATTTCATGCTGGCGGCGAAATGCAGCGTGATAGAACAAGGAGAGATCATTGTGCAACAATATAGTCCTTCGGAGCAGTACCTTCTGATCCAAACAGCTTTTATATATGTAATTAGATTGCTCACCAGGATGATATTGAACACCATCTATTATTTTAATGCTCGGCCTGAATGCGTCTTTTGTTTTGCAAACACAAAGCTGCACACTTGAATCACACCAGTAGTTGAATGTTTCACTTGCGATGGCAGATGAATAAGCAGGAAGCAAATAATTAGCAGTGCCTTTCATGCTCTTATCCAGGAGACAATTTTACAGCCCTTGAATAAGGTTTCAGAATGTTAACGAGCTGGAACACATTCATAATCCAGATTCGAATCACTCTTGTTAGGGTTTGTGCTTCACTTGCTGTTCGACTCAACGGACTGGGTACTTACACAGCTTGAAGTGAGATGGTCTATGTGCCCAGTAGGAATAATGCGCCTCCTGGACCTGTCTCTGCCTGCATCCACATGTGAACATCACCAATAAAAGGAGTCAGCCAAACTCATTCATAATTGAAACAACCATATGAATGCTGGGACACAAGTGAAGAAATCAGCAAAGGCACATGTCCTTCAAACAAATACACACAATCACTTTGTATCGCAAAGGATATATCAAAAGTGGAGGTTCTCATTGTTGACAAAGCACAAAAAAAAATCGCAGTTCCGCTGTGACTAAACAAGAGCCAATTCAAATTCAAGGTTGTTTTTTATTTTTTATTTTTATTTAATACCGTCAGCGTAAGTGGGATTGCTACTCGTCGCACACGGAACTTGATTCTTCCTTGTTCCTGAAGTAAGTTGTCCTGTGCATTTCAATGACAGAGATTTCAAGCGGTTGAAGAAATCTTTCTCTACATCGATTAGGCTTGAGGCCTAATTAGATAGCTGCCTGAAAATCACAGCACTGGTTGTTTCAACACGAGCTTTTGAAACTGGAACTTGAAAGTTGATGGGAAAAGTTCCAGCACTTGGTGTAATTTCCTGCTTCATATACCACGAAATACCTTCATCACTACTTTGAGGTGTCGTGCATGAGAGGTCCACGTGAGGAAGCTCGCAGGTGATGCCATGAGGTGGATGTTGTTTCTCGTAAAGTGGGTTATTCCTTCTAAGATCTCTCTGCAGAAGACTGCAAAAATTAGTAGCCAGTGTTGAAGGAGGAGTTCATTGAGTTGCCAATTATTCTTCAAGCAACAGACACAGTACAGAACAAAATCACGAGTTCTTCTCACATCCACTAGACAGAGGAATGTTTCAATTGGAGAGGGTGGCTGAACTAATAGGATGATGAAATACAGCGTTGCGGCTGAAAATGCTTCATCAAAGAATGACATAAGGAGTCAAGAGCAAACTCACAGGCGGTAAGTTTTGTGTTGTCTCAAAAGCAGGAACAGAATTCCAAACGTGTACATATTTCGGTGACTTATGATAACACTTGTTCATGCAAACGTGTTTTCGTGACGATCTCCAACCCGACCGGGTTGGGTAAAACTCTGGAATGTATCGAATTGTTGATCGGAAAGGACTTTCCTCGGTTGTTTTACGCTGAGAACATCCTGGGTACACCACAATTTGGCTTCGGAAGGGCTTCTCGAAGTCTCCTTCAAGTGGAGCATTACTACTAACAGAAGGTCTCCAATCTTTCTCGACGTAGTTCTTTTCACCATTACACTTCACGGATGACCGCCAGTTATATGATCTTCCACATTGATGACCATCTGGATTATATGCTTTACTGGTCCTCCACTGCAACATCAACAGACCCAACAACATGATTTAGGTCACGGTGCTGTGAGGTCGATACATGCACTCGATCAACTTGCCTTGAAACCAGTCACTCTCTCTGAACTCGACGAAGCCAATCTATATGAAGTTTTCCTAATACAGCATAAGAAAGTCAAAATGAATATGGACACTTACTCCTCAATGCCACGTCGTACGTATTGAACGGGAACTTAAAACACAATTTCCTAATTACTCCATGTTTATTCTATAACTAATATATTTGTAATTGACAGGAAGACGGGCCAACCTCGGGTTTCGGCTCACAGATAGCAGTATCTCCGAAGTTGTCATGGCAAAATTTCCCTTGGTGTACAGAAGATTTAAAAAGCTCCTGGTAACTGTGTTCATGATGTATTGGCACTTTATGATTGGATGGCCTCCACTGTAATACACAACACAAAACGCAGTTCAGCACAATAACCCACTTGGTGAGAAGCCATTACGACTTAAATTCAGAATTGGAATGGGTGTAATTAGAGAGACAGCAGAAAGCTTCCTGACCAAGAGAACCCTGGCATGAAACAGAAACTCAGGATTCAGAAACTGCAGGAGATTGGCGCAATCGAAAATCCATACCGGTTGCTCCTGACAATCGAATGTGTCCAGGAATGTTTCAGTGCCGCATTTGTCCGGTGGCGCCCCTCCAGGAGGCTTTGGAGGTATTGGCTTTGATCCTGGAGGAAATGGCCTTGGTTTAGGGTATCCAGGTTTCTCCATTTTGAAATCCAGGCAATGCCCTGGTGATGAAGCAGCGTGAATATCTCTGTATTCCGTCTGAGAGATCCTACGAACAGCATTCTGTTTAGGGCACCCGGGTGGGCATGTTATCGGCCTTGGTCCTACACATTTTGATGCCTTACATCTCGTGTCCATGCACTCACCTCCTTCGGTCTTCATCGTGCCCAGCACCTCATCACACAACCCTCACAACCAAATTTGTCCTAAATACTGAATCATTCCATGTGCAGTTTCTTCGAGGTCACATCCTGCGTTGTGGGTTGTGTAACTCCTTCCAGAATGTGTAACTTGTTCCAGGTCATGATCTCAGGCATCCTGAATTGGTCGTGAATTCACACAATGCTTCACCCACTTTTCAAGCAACTGCAGGCCTTCCAGAGCAAGGAAATGGCTTCTGCTTCTTCTTCTTCTTTTGTCAATTGCAAACACATTGCACTCTGTTACGATCTGTGAAGTAAAACGAAATCATCCTTCATGTAAAGCACGACACACGAATAGATGGCAGTGGACAAAAAAATTCACGTAATCAACAGCTGTTGAGAAAAACCCAACGATCCAACTTTCTGTTAATTTTCACAAAAAAAAAATTCTAGGTCATCCCCTCAGATGTATCTCGGGAGTGCCGCTACACAGGCTTGTCAGAAAACTTGAAGAACCTCGGGAAGGGGGGTGAGTCCATGCAGAATGGCGAGAGCTCGACCGACATGAAGAAGCAAGTCCTTCGATAGAGTGAGAAAGTCGATCAAAGATGTGATTTTTGGGTACCATCTTCTCGTTTCCATGCAGTACAAAACGACAGATCTGATCCGCATCTATCTAACGAAAACAATCTCTTCAGAAATCTTTGTTAACTTGAAGAATACAGAAATGGTCAAACTAACAGGCATGTTCAGACTAAAAAACACGAGTAGATCACATGGTGAACAAACTGTAAATACATATATATATATATATATATATAGTTTAAAAGATGAATCGGATGACCACCACGAAAACTGAGTCCCACGAATCCACCCATGTGTTAAGAAGATCCTCACTGGTAAGCCAGTTAAAACCTCCTAAATCTACCAGTTATGTTGGTTCAATTGAAATCTCAATCGTTTTGCGAAAAACTCCATGATTCGTGAATGAAACTAACTTGCAAAAATAAGAAAACCTTGGGAGCTGCAGGATTGGAAAGGGCACCGGCAGCAACATCCATTTTGTCGGTTGAGAATAATAATGCTGCTGTAGTTTTGACAAGGCAGAAAACATGCAGAATTGAAACGTGTGAATTTGTTTTGCCTTGGATTATTTGTTGTTGTTTTTTGTTGTTCATCGGTGTTTTGCCAATTCACAGAAGTTAGTTCTCATGTGAACTGACATCATCTGGTTTCTGTCGCTTTGTTTTTGATTCTATATCCAGAGAACGGAAATGGTAAAATACGTTGTTCTATTTTCATTCTCCTGCATATTTCTTCATAGTTATTATATTCTTTGATTATTTGAGATGTAGAGGTTTTCGATTTCAACCAATTATTGGGTTATTTTTTTATTTTTTTATTTTTTTAAGTATGAAGATTTGCTAAAAGAAGCTTAGTTTGATTCAACAATGTCATTGATTTTGTATTTTGATCAAATTTGGGAACACACTTCTCCACATTCCTGATTCTATTCAACTGTGGCAAAAAAAATCAACAACCTGCAAATGGTTTATCACAATTTTACATCCTTCAGTTTTAGCTTCTATTCTACTAGATCATATTTGTATTAAAGTCTAAGCAATAAGTGTGTTTTTATTCAAGGGCTTATTAAAATATGTAGAAATATCACTTATATCAAAATTGTTTTTATTTGGCTCTTTGATTTAATGCTTTGATTGAACTTGTAGTAATTTAAGTAGGTTATAAACTATTATTTTAGATAATGTTAAAGTTTTTAATATTTGCAAAAGATTTCATTGACATTTGTTCAAGATATTTGTGACAATTGTCAATCTTAAGGTATTAGCTAAACTAATGCAAAATAATTGTTGTCACGTGCATGTATTTTTAAAATCCTATTTTTTTCCCTATTTATTCGAAAAAAGACTATTCACAAGGTGATGTTAACATTTTATTACTAATTTAATAAAATTTTAATATTAATTATTAATAATATTAAAAAAATCCTTCACGAAATAAGGCTTTTTCAAAATAAATAAATCTATTTTTTTAAAAAATAAAAATTATAATATATGTGTAGATTTTGATATTCTATTATCAAAAAAAAATAATAATCTTTAGACATAAATAATTTGACATATATTGTCCATGTACACGTATATGTTCATGATTTTTGATACAGTAGCATATTGATTCAAATTTTTCTAAAATTATTATTTTGTGTATAAGATAGGGATAGATTTATAAATAAATGACAAGAAATCCTTTCTGATATTATATTTTAAATAAAGTACATCATTATAATCTAAATATTCATAGACTAATAATCATATCATCAATTTATGTAACAAATAGAAGATTGGTGCTCATTTGAATGTGGAACATTATATAATTCTTGGTTGTACATCACTTAAAGCAACATTGAAATAATAGAAGGTGTAGTAAAAAAATATGAATGTTATTATAACAATTAAAGTAATTTATTATTTATTTATTAAATGAAATTAGAAAACAATATTAATCAAAGTTAACTAGGATAGACCAATTTTACAAAAATAGGATTATTTATCACAAACATATTAGTATATTGTTCTTATTGAAAAAAATAAAGTTTCTACAAATTTATTGTTAGATCGTCAGAGTGTTTTAGACAAGTCTATTATAAATAAATAAATAAATAACTAAATTGTAAAAAATACATTAGTTATTTTTTAGATAATAAATCCATTTGAAGCCCATATAAGATTTTGCATCATGTTTTTATGTTGTACAATAAATGCAAATCTATTGTATTACTGGGGTTTTAAAGCAATTATTATTTTATTTCTTAAAATATATGTTGTAATAGTAGAAATAAAGTTGCAATAGAACCTATTGAATATATTTAAAGAAAGAAAAGACTTGTGTATGCAAATTAAATATAACACAAAATTTAAAGTCTTTGTACCCAAATCTTCAGATCAAAAATATATAATTGGTAATATTTTGTGTTAATATAGATACCATGTTTCAAAGTAAGATTTTGTTTATTTATTTATAATAATAGTACAAATATGTACCAAAATTATTATAAAATAGGTTTTATAAAAAAACATATTTAATACAAAAACATACACTGGGAAGGCGCAAATGAAGTATCTATTTGAATTCACACAGAAATCGAACAATCATGGATACTTAATTCACCTATTTCAAAACAACAATCAGGTAAACATGACCCAAAAGAACAGATCGAGAAGTAATTAGCTCTAAAAATAAGTATGAATTTGTGGTTTGCCATGCGCATTCAACCCATAGATTGTTCCAATGCTTCCTAAATTTAGGTTCTAACGTTATACATACAGATTGCCACCATCTATAAACACTGTAAACCAATCTATAAACACAATCTATAAACATCTGTAAACTTAATGTTGTTGAATCCACCGCAATCAACCGCCTGGTGTTTATTATCCAATTCAAGCTCTTTCAGCAGAACTATGGCGTGCCCTTACAAGAAGCGTTGTTTCCTCCAGGTCCTCCGAAAAAGAAATAAGTACCCCAATTCACGTAGTAACTCAGTTGAATCGCTTTATCATAGCAGTTGGGATCCGTCCGGAATATAAGTCCCGTTAGATACGTAACATTTGCATCCATGTTTGTGACTCCAGACACCACATCCCCGTACGTGATGTTTCTCTGGTAAGCTGATAAAGGGAAGCCCGCGGCGGGGAATTCACCACTGCCCATCACAGTCTTCGAGTGAGCAGTGTTGTTCTATTCGATGCAAACCTCGCCTCCCCAGTCTAGAAAATTTGCGGTCCCTTGCAAATAAGTGCTGGGGTACAACGCCGCTGGCCAGCACCCAATTGCCACACCGTAGAGAAATAACCACCAGACAAGCGGAGTCGTAGAGCACTTGAATGTCAACCTCGGCAATCTCCCCATTTTGTGATTGCTCAAGCGTGGTGTAGCTCGGCATGGCGCCTCCAATCACCCATGAATTTTCGACCTGGACAAAGCCGTGGCATTCCAGGTAATAGCATTTACTATTGTGATCGTCTGCTGTCCAGAACACGAACAGGTGAGGAGCGAAGTCCGAGTAAGCAGTGTGTCTGCCGGGATACGTTTACCAGCCGACTTCAATTGTGCACACGCTTTTGTCATCGTAAGAGCCATCGATGATCCAGAGCTGAGACAGGATGAGCTCGCTGGTATTTGCGACGGTGGGGACATTTACACTGAGGACTACCGCAGATCCACTGTAAGCTCCGTTTGAAACTGGCATGGTTACAGCATACTCATGAACTGGACCGTCAGTTGGAGCAAGTCCAGGGGCTTGTGGGGGACGCTCTTTTCGCAAACTCGGGCGGTTGGGATCCTTTCGTTGAACGGGAATGTAGCCGTCTGGGCACCCGCCATGCTCCCGAGCAAACAATTGTGGATGCGATCTCGCGCTTAATGAAGGGTGAGAATTGGGGAGTACCGATGGCCTCCTCGTGATGATGTGGTCTTTGAGAGCGGGGTGGTGGGCTGCAATCTGTCCTTCGATGGGGACACAATCTACCCAGCTACCGTCTCAAACCAGGTAAGATTGAGTCGAAGGAGCGTGCATGGGCTTGACGGTATTGTCCCCCTGCGCCTGGAGTCTCATTTGTGGTTGAGCTGTTTGTAATTTCCATGCTGGCTTGAGTTGAGCCTACCATCAAAAGCGACAAAGATAGCAAAAGTGCGACGCAACATCTCCATGATCGAGGAAGTGATGGGCTTTCGTTTAGAGAAGCCATTGTCTGTACCTAGCTAGCCACAGACGAAGGCCATCACTCCCTGGAGTAGCTTGTAAAATGAAACAATTGAGGAACTGAAACCCGCTGAGAGTGATGATCAAAGTAATCCAGAAGACATAATGCGGAAAGAATGAAGCTGTCGATCACGACGAAGAAAGGACTGAGGTGTTATGACAATGCAAACTGATGGCAATCGACACCAGAGTTTATGAACTGGTCCTGATTCAGCAACAAAATGTTGAGCAACTGGTTCTGCATAGGCTTCCAGTTGAGGAGTGGAATTGAATCGACTGGACCATGAAGCAGAAGCTCTGCCTCACGAACTGTCATCAATCTCTTCTCCAACTCTTTTATCAGACATCGAACAAAGTCGAAATTCACGACTCAATCGTTTAAATGACCATCGGCACAAGTGGATTTTGAATCCCTCAGTCATCTAGTGACCTGCAGACTTTGTGTTCACTATTTTTAATCTCATTCATTGACGGTGGGTATCTTTATCCAAACTGTAGACTACTTTTATTTAATTTTGTTGTTCGAGGCACATGTTTTTATTGGGCTACATGATGATATTATGGACTACTTCTCTAAAGCATACACGTTTTATTGGGCTGCATGATATTTATTATAGGTTGTTAAAAGTGCATTAAAATATTCCAATTTATTATTGGCTTAGGCTACATATATCCCAAATTGTTATATGCACACCCATTATGTCATTACATACATCCAAGGGCTTTTATTGACTATTTTATTTATGTCCTACAAATGAATTTAGAGATGACTTCCTTGCCCTCTTCCTTGTTTGAGCACAAGCTCCAATCTTAGTGCAAATTTTGGACTTCTTTCTCCTCTTACTTGTCTCTTTGCAAGTCATAGACTTCCTTCCCCTCTACTTTGTCTCTACGTGGATCCTACTTCTAGTGCAAGTTTTTGACCTCATCTCCCTTTTTCTTGTCAATTATTGGTCAAATTAGCATATTATCCAATTAAAGGCCTTTATTTTCTTAGGTAAGCATATAACAATATGAGATGTGCATGGAATGTGAGCCTATTAACATATACTTTATCAACAATTAGTGTGTAAATGACTCTTAATATACATCAATTAATAAATGCTCAAGCTACACATACCCAAAAAAAAATAGAAACCTCTAATTAATTAAGTTGCTAATTTGACCAACAATTGATAAGCAAGAAGGGAAGGAGGTTCAAGATTCATGCTAGGAGTGGAACTTGTACTGAGATAAAGAAGGAAAGAAAGTCATTTCTAAGTCCATTTATAGATGATAAACAAAGCAACTAATCAGATGCCTTAGGTGAGGATATAGTCACCTTAAGATGTGTTTATAGCAATTTGGAGTGTGGGTGTAGCCTAAGCCATTTTTATATCCAATTGAATCTTATTTCTTTCTTTATAATCTTGTTTTTTTTTGGTGCTTTTTATTCTTGTTTGTATTATAATAGGTATCTAATTGGTACTTAATACTAAATGAATACAAAGTTTAGTTAGTTTCTTATAACAAAACATATTAATAAATCATCAACCTTTAATCATGTCAAATTGTTTATAAATGATTTTAGATCTTTTTTGAAGAAAAAATCATATCATGTACTCATCCTAATAATATTATAGAGACTTTGAACAATCGATTGCTAATTAATAAGCTGCTCACAAATCCAAGATAGTTATCTAACATTTATGTCTACATACATGCATAGATATCAACATAGTAAGTAAAAATGTCCAAATAAGAGTTAGATGCTTCTTAGGTTAATTTAGTTTTTTCTATGATTATTTCTCTCATCCACTTTATACTTAAATAGAACTTGTGAGCTTAGTAATTCTCTTATTGATTTATTTTATCTAAAGCTAATGTTGAAAAAGTTGTGCAATTTTTATATAAATAATACTAAATTACTAGTAAATTAATTTATTATTTTAAGGCCTTCAATAATTTTTACTTAGTTCCTTATCATTTTGTGTTTTTAAGTTCATTTTGGTAAGAAGAATCTTATTTTTAAAAAAAAAACAACAACAATAACAACAATCTTGTAAAATTTTAATGATTAAAGTTAAGACAATTTTTTTTGTAATAATTTAAAAAAATATTATTCTATTATTTTGGCACTCTAAATTGTCCAATTTTAAAAGAATATTCTTAGTAATTGACAAGAGAATTTTTGCAAGTTTCAGAGGTGTTAAATTAGTACTAGATAATTTTTAAAATTTTGGCTCATTTATCTGTAATTATTTTATTTTTTAAATTATTACCTTGACATTATCCAATTTTAAATTCAAATGTACATTATATTATAAGTTAAGCTTCTTTTTACTATTCTTAAACCACAATATTTATCATAATATATTGTAAGTATTATTCAATATATTTAATGACAATCATATAAAGATTTTTTTTATTTTTTTATTTTAATATTTAATTTAATTTCTTTAAGACATTGAATTAATTTAGTAGTAAAACATTGAAGTAATTTTTTTATCTCAATAATTTAGAATAAAAAATATATTAGAAGAATAAACTAAAATAAAAGAATCTCAAATATTATGAAATTTGTAATTTAAACGAAATATATCATAAAATCTATATCAAATATTCTTTCAGAAGTAAGCACTTAAATTCATATATATATATATATATATATATTAATTATCTTTAATACGATCAATTTTTCATATTTTCAAAATTCTTTGTGAAATATGTTTTGAAACAAATAATCAAAATATTGATCTTTAAGTTTAAAAAATAGATTTAATTATTCTAAGTGTTACGATTGAACATGTATTATGACTTTTTTGTAATTTTTTATCACTCATTTCCTTGTATCTTCATTTTCTGGTATATTAATTTTTTTTTGTTGTTATTATTATATCTTTTATAAACATTTTAAAATATTATCTAATTTTCATATTTTAATGAAAAATATAAAATAAAATAATATTAGAGATAATAAAATTCTATTCAAAACTAATTTTTAATCAAGAGTGAGAAAAATCTTTCTAGTTGTCTTGTAAATCTTTACAAATCAAGAGAATCGGTCAACATTATTACCATTGGCACAAAATTTAATTTCAATAACATGCATGGCAATAATACTTGGACATATTCTATAAAACACTATTTCTAAATCATATAGTGTACTGATACTATTTTTCTTCTCTTTTCTTTTTGTCTTATTTTTAGAAAACTTATCTCATGATTTTATTTTTATTATTACAAGATTATAGTGTAGATTTAATTTGAATAGATTTATATGTCAATACGTAAAAGATTGGAAAAGGTTTATTGATTTGCATTTTATGTTTATAAATACATATATATGTATATATATATATATATATATATATATTAAAAGACTATCATTAAGCTGAGGTTTATTTCTTCAAAAAAAACCAAATGCAAGTGGTGTAATAGATGTCTATATTATTGAAGCGAAGAGAAATAGACAAAAGTTAGTAAAAACATATTAAGTTTACATACCTTTTTCAAGAAACATCATAACAATTTCTCAGATTTACATTAGATCCACAAATTCTTTAGATGTGTCAAGTGGTTGAGAAAACATGATTAAGAAGTAATTTTAAAATCATCAAGAAAACAAAAAAACAAAACAAAGACATAGATTACATCCATAAATTTTTCTATACATGCTACAAGAATATAGACACTTGTTATAGAAATTTATCATCGAAACAACCTACTACTTCAATGTTTGGATGACAAGCCTCATGATTCTTAAGACACACTATCATAAGCTTAATGATAACTGATATACATGGAAATGAGATGAAGACTATGCTTGGTTTTTATCACCATTAGACATCTTTCTCACATTCTAATACTATATTTTAATCAAACATGGTCCACTTTGTGATGTACTTTCGTTGGATTGCACAATTCCATTACCTCATCTTTGTTTAAGAATTGAATTAAGTTTTTGATGCATTTGATAATATACACTAAATTTGAAAGATAGAAAGCACGCATGAATTAAGAGCACTAAAGACCCTCTTCACCACAAAGCTGTGTGCAAACCTTCCCTAACCACTTCAAAAGTGCTCTACGTCGAACCTACTAATTCAAATGCAAATGTGCACAAGATTGTTTACAGATGATCCCATCCAAAGTACATGAAAGAATAGGTGTCCCATCTTCAATGATAGGTTGAAGATGCAAACAAGCCTCTTAATTGTAACTGGGTTGCTGTCAATGGCGGAGCTGATTCGAAGGCAAGAATTCCACATACCATCAAAGAACCGAAACCGCCATCACAAAAATGATAAGCAATCTGCCTCCACACGTGGGTGTTACCCTCCATAATTTAACTAGCATCGGAGGCATCCTTTAGGAAGCCATAGCTATAATGCGATAACTCTAGCCAATGTAGCAACTAGCCATGTCAGGGGAGAAATGGCTGCGTGGTACCCACCAGTTTCCGTTTCCATCTGTAGAAACGCCGCTGGATTCTGCTGTGCGCGGACACGCTCTTATGGTCACTAAAAGTTCGAGCTCAGATGTTTCCTCATTCTGACGCTTGTTGAGCAGACGGACAACAGCATACCATGTCCTTGCATCGTTGTTAAGAGAAGGCTCAGTCGCTCCTGATTCGGACTTCGCAACAGCTGGTACACCTGCATTTTTAACTATCTCACAGATGGGATCACGAGGCGGTTGCGACAAGTTCAGTGAAGCTTTTAATTTTTCAGCAGTTGGTTTCATGTCCTCAGAGCACATGCCGTACTCTTGTTTAACGTTGCACATTGCAGGGAGGTTAGGTTCTTGCTTAACCTTCACAATCTGAGGGATGGGGCCCATGGATAGAATTTTGGGCTTGACATCCTCCACATCTGACACTGCAGCCGAATTGCCTTTACACAATGTCGAGAGAAGAGCGTCTTCGTCATCTTCAGCATCGGATTGTTCAGGATTAGGTGCCTTTTTATAGCGTTTAGACATCTGTCGTCTAGAGGGCGTCGAATAACTTGCACCAGTAAGATTTCTCTTGGCAGTTCCGCTACTCGTCTTCTTGGTCAAATGCTTTTCTCTAGTTTTTGGATGATAATGGATCTTCGGCTGAATAATTCTATAGTTCTTATCCCATCCACCACGGGATCCAGGTGCGAGATCAACATCGACAACCCTGAAAATATGGACGAGAATTGTCCAGTCCTCAGAATCTATTACTTCAAAGACACACACATCTCCCTCTTCCAAACGGTGGTCACGGCTAAATGCTGCCCATCCGCCGCTGACCCCGGTGTGATGGTCGCTTTTGATCCATGACGCGGACCACTGAAAGCCATGGATGTCTTGGAGTTTTATATTGATTCTATCGTTTGGCAAGTGTGCTTTCGAGAACTTTCCTGGAATGGTCTGAATCATATCAAAAAATTACGAATGTCAGTGGAGGTTCAATACCAAGAGGAACTCACTGAAAATCCTACTCGCAGAAATGAATAGTGAAGAAATACTCCAAGGTCTACACTTATCCACCAACTTAATAAAGACCATAAGGTCTTAGACTCTTCAAAAAATCAAGACATCTTTCGTAACGTACAATTGAACACAAGTGAAGAAAAAATGAATTACCAGCCAGAATCCGCGGTAAACATGAGAAGGCATCATGACAACAGGACAACTAGGGCCTTCAGTTACAAAGGCATTGGCAGCTACCAGTGCCCTTTCCCGCTCTGCTAGGGTAACTTTGCGCCTAAGAGACTCATAGGTTCTAGAGCAGCTTCCAGCTTCGTACATCATCCCATCCTTCCCGGCTGAACCTCCGACAGATTTCTTCGTGGGATGTGCATTAACTCTACTCACTTTCGCTGTACATTTTCTTCTCACCTTCATCTTCACGGGGAAGCATACTTCGTCGTTGTAAACTTTTCCCCCACTGTGCTGAGGGCTGGCTTCCGTGTCCTCAGACTCTGATGAGGAGTCAGTGTCAGAAGCCTCGTATTCACTAATATCTGACGACTCGGCATCTAAGTCTTCAGCTTCGTCTTTGACTCTTACATTCATGCCGGCTTCATCATTGACGTCTTCTCTCTTGCGTTTTCCACTCATTGGAGCAGCACGCATGGGGGTCACACAAGGTGAAGGTATTGTTTCTACACCTAGTTTGTTAAACACATATACAGAGAAGGTTTTGGTCGAGACAAGCAAAAATAAGACTTGATCACCCCGCTTCAGACTGTTATCCGCAACAAAACTTCGCCATCCACCTTTGAAACCCAAGAATTTAGCTGGGCCACCAACTTCGACTGACCACACTTTCCCATTTGCACCGTGAAAGGACACCGGGCCCCGTAGATCATCACCGTATGATTCGCTGAACTCCCTAGGAACGGGCTGCACAAACAGTGATGAACAATCAAACCCGATAAAGCTAGACGCATGAGAGAAGGAATGCAGAGAAATACTCACATCTCAGCGGAAAGCACAGTTTAAGCAGAGATATCGTACTGTCCAATTGCTTGAAACATCCGAGGCAGTGAGGAGGAAGCAGGGGGGCCTTGTGAAAGGAGTAGTCGACTCTGCTGCAATGTTCCTGTGTTTATTGTAGCACGAGTGTGTACATGGGACACAAGCTCTGAATGCACTGTCCATAGCTTCAGACATAGATGGTAAAATTTATTTTCAGATCGCTGGAAAGAATATCGGAATGTGACCTTCAAGCAGCCGCTGCATCATCAATTCCTGATATCAACTGAAACGTCACGCATCAGAGGCGAATCACAACTGTGATGACGACGTTCGACGGCACCCACTGGGGATTAGTACCTGAAATTTCTAGAAGCCTAGTTAAATACAGGCAATCCTAATTTGAAGTAAAAACCATGGAAATATCTTCCGTTCAGTGAATTCAAATTGCACGCAAATAATCAGGAATACAAGAATCACAACATACGGTAGGCATCCTTAACTAGCTAACATTTACTGATCTTCAAGATAGCCAACAACAGTTACTAACACTCACTCAACATAATCATCGCTTCGAACAACTACGTCAACCTGTCTATTCACCAGGTTTAGTCATCCCAGACCCTTCCCCACTGTACCACACGTCGTAACCCACGCATCAAAGAACGCAAAGCAAAAGGACTGGAACAATGGTTGATGGCTTTCGAAGTTTGCCTACGTGCGGAGCATCATCCAACTTCGAACAGGGCACTTCCTACGTGAGACGCTACCATAGCAGGTGGTTCAAAATTACAGAGATAATGTTTGGGAAACGGAAGCTAATGCACATAAGGTTCCAATTTCCAAGAAAATGAGACAATGACAAGAGTGCTCCACGACTGATGCAACTTCTTATTCGTCCGTAAAGACTACGTGTGAACGCAACAAACTCAGCCTTCGAAGAGCTCCCCTACCCAATACCCAATCCAGAAACGAGTTCTCTGAACGTTGAGAATGCGACCCAGCAGTCAAATTGGAAGTCGAATCTGAACACACTCAGTGCGCTTAGCATGCTCAGGTAAAACAAAGAAAGGACAACAAGACAACTCCAGCACAATTCCATCACTGCAACAATTAAAAACTTGGCATCATCGAGAGGCGGTAGACTTTATCCCTCCAGAAGCAGCGCAACCACAAAACACTGACCCATAAACAGATATATACAAGTAAACCAATGTTACCTACCTCGACACAGCTGAAACTCGAACTGCGTCATTCTGGCTCCAAAAAACTCAACCCCAAACATCTTACGACACATCCACAATGGAGATGTACTAATTGCACAGACCAGACGTCAAACCTTGCCACCTAAACTAACCTCTAGAGCGGAGGCATCATGTGAAGAAAGGTGACCCCGGCGAGAAAAAAACGCCTGGAATCTCAGGCCTTCCATGAACATCACAGAAACCACAACATAATGGCACCACAACACAACGATCCTCACAGGCTAAGACAGCAAACGCACTCTCCAGGATTTCGGACGTGTCCAAATGGCTCCAAAGTTCACGCACCCTAGTACCCACCAAGTCCGCGGCGGCCGTCGCTCTCCCGAACAACGGCGGACCCGTAATTCAAAATTTGAAAGAGCAACTAACGTCGTTACTTTTCCCAATCGAAAATTTCCAATACGAGCCATGAAACCCTCCTCCTGTGCTCCCAGAGAAATCATTCGTGAGGGAGGAACAGTCCCCTAATTCAGGCGTCCTTTGTAAGGCACAAAAAAAAAAGCCGATGTCCACGTCGAATAGACAGGTCCAGCCGTGGATTCAAATTTCGGGGATTCGAAATAGAATGGCTGTGTGTGTTTTTTAGTGATTAATGCAAGCATCGTCGGAATCTGAAGTGGGGTTGTTTCCAGTGGCGCAGTCGCTGTGAATGCCGCCGCCGCCGCAGCGCTCACAGTGTGCGTCCCATTCTGACTTCTACGTCGAGTCTACTCCCGGGTGACTCCGGAGATTCTCTTACTCTCGCTCCCGCTTGTGCCTTGGTCGATTTTTGAGGCTGGTTTCTAGCTTTGTTGGTTTTGCTGTTCTTTTCTGCTGAAGTTTGATAATTGAAGCGAACAATTTGGGTTCATATTGTGGGTCGAGGATTAATTGGGGAGAATTTTTATTTTAACTTGTTGCGTTGAAACCTGAGAGTGTAGGAAGTTCAGAAGAATACGTTATCTTTCAACATCAAAGCATGTGTGTTTGTTGCGGACAAAATGTATTCTGTGTAAACCTGTTTTTTAATTTTTAATTTTTTAAAAATTGTTGTTATAAGGTATAGCATGTTTCTTTTATTGTTTTGTATGTTTATTAACTCAAAATATCACCACTTCATTCTCTATTTACTTATTTACTTATTTATTTATTTATTTATTTTTCTTTTTCTATTTATCTGTAGATTTTTAAGTCTGGAAAATTAGATCTAGGGATAGTAAGAATTCTACAAAAAGTACTGTGGTCAATGATGTTGGATGTTTTTCATTGGATTTCGTAAACATGTCCCTCTGGTTTTTATTTTGCTTATTATGAAACAAAAATCTTGTTAGAAGGGTGGTTTCAATAAGTTATACTGGGTATGATTTAGTGTGTCCTAATATTAAATGAAACAAATTATTTTATCTGATGTTTTTAAATGGTATATGTACAAAAATTTACATTTTTTAATAATAAAATTTAGGTCAAGTATAACATTTTTTTCATTATTATTTTTGTATTTATGTTTTTACATATGTTTATATTTATCACTTTCATTGCAAATTTTATTCATTAAATATTCACTTAAAATTTCTGAATTGTTTTAAAAAGCAAGGGTCTATTGTTAATCACATTGACTTTTATGAGAAAATATGATTTTGTCTTCACTTCCATAGACCACCATGAAAGTACTTGAACATCCATGTAAAGTTAGAATTGACACTTTATCACTAGCAAATTTTAGCATTAATGATTTAAGAGCAAAAAAGAACCTTACTTAGAAGTGTTTTAAGTCTTATTTAACAATGATAGTTACAAATAAAGGAATATCCCTATTATCCCATTACCATCCCAAGTGTATTCAAGGGAGATTGTAAAGTCATCATAGATGGTAAATAATAAAGTGGTGATACCACCATGTGCATTTAGGTTGTACAATGAAGTCTTACCATAATGAAGTTCCAAATATGTATGAAGTTTTCCACCTAGACTTAAACACACTAAAAGTTAGTGACATGAACCATAAAGCTTACAAATTTTGGTACAAAAACAACTAATTTGCATGTGTGGGTTGACATTAATTTTGGATCCACATAATATGTTTAAGATTTTTGAAATATAATACTTTTATGTAATAAAAAAAATAAAATTGAATAAATCTTTGTCATAAGTTTAATATTATCATGTTCTAATTTTGGAACATTATTGATACTAACATCAAAAATTTAAATATCTTTATTTAATATTAAAATATAAATTTAATATTAAACATAACATTAAGTGTGTTGAAGTAAGTCATCTACTAAAAGGTATTACCTTAGGTAAGTTGCTAGTGGTCAAAAGACAACAAAAGATTATAAAGAAGTTACTATGGTAGTTTGTAGGATTTGTAGGTGGTGGCTAGGGTTTGTAGGTGGTGGCTAGGTTAAGAAAGAACTTAGGGTTTAGTTGGATGAAGTAGAAATGGATGTAACGTCGATAGAAGTTGCCTCGTTGATTGGCAACCACCACCTATAAGTAACAAGTGTTGGAAGTAAGAGTCATCTTACTCCATACTCCTTTTTGTGTGCAACCTTGTTGATGCTAAGTGTTGTGACTTCAAAGTGCTTGTTCTTCAATAAAGTGGTTATTATGTTTGACATCAAAAATATTCAATATTTGAAAAATTTATGTTATAGTTATTTTTTATATTTATGGTGATCATGATTTAGCTCTGATTTTTTAAAATAATGTATTAATTAATTAATAAAAAATATATTCCACAAACAAGCATAAGTTTTATATGGTATACTTCATACTTTTTGTATATTATGAAATAACATTAAGATTTAACATTCAAATTATCTAGTATAAAAAATTCCAATTTTTATTTATTTATTATCCCTAATATATACGCAAGCAAATAAATTTCAAAATGTGTTAGTTTTATTTGGAACACCGTAGTTCTTTAAAGCAATCTAACATAAAATTAATGTTAAAATGTTACATTAAGAACAAAAGTAAATACAAATATCTTGTTTTTTAAACTTTTCTTAGTACGTTAAATATTTTTAGCTTCTGAGTTTAACACCCTTACAAATAAAAATATATACTATTTCCCAAAACAATTGTTAATATTTTAATATCATTTGATATACAAAAAAGATGGTCTTATACAAAGTTTTATATAAATAGTTCCAGACAAAGATTATAATAAAATAATTAAGTCATACAAGGTAAATTTGGATCCTTCTAATTAATAAAATGGGTTCAAACTTCCTTAAATGATAAATAGTTGAACATCTATTCATGTACTCGTACTCTAATGTCAAAGGGCTAAACTCAGATTCCTCACAACTCTATACTATTTTCATATACACACATACATACAAAAATAAATAAAATAAAATAAAATAAACATTCACATTCTGGATTCATGAAATGGACGCAAACTAGAAGAAAATAATTATGCATCGCGAGTGTCCAACCTAGTAAACGCAAGATTCACCAAATTTGCTCAGAAGCAATTCGGCAACGCTAGATTTCGACAATACCGACACGGATCGATGCGCCCCGAACGTCAACAAAATGCACACTTCGAGTTGCGGAGATGGAGAAATCACGAAACAAATGAAATCATGGGGTGAGGGTGGCAATCCATACACTGCTACTGAGCATAGTAGAGAATGTGCGGAAGATCCATTGCGCATAACTGCACAGAGTTGGGTCACTGTGCGAAGACCATCACAGTCGAAGTTGAAAGGTTTGTGAAGAACAGGCTACCAGAGCAGTAGAGTTCGATTTGCGTGCACACTGTAAGATATGTAGTATGTTTCTGGAAACGCTACGTGAGTGGGCCATGCGGAAGGAAATGCTTGAACTGGTTGCACTTGATGGGTGAAATAGGAAACCGCCCGCTGCGGTGAGTCTAGGAGTCGGTGACGCGGCCGACGACGGGGTACTTGGCGGCGAATTTTCGATCCCAGTCGTCGAGTACTCCGATCTCCTTGTCTGTCAAGCCATCGAGGTCAGCCACCACATCTTCCTGTTTGGTGGACATCTTGGCCAGTGCTCTGCTCGCATCCTTCCCCGAAAACATGGCATATGAGCCTCCTGGCCCGTAGAATGACTTCCCGCTTGTCACGTCGTAGATCTTGCCCCTGATGGCCACCAGAATCGGTAAGGCGTCGTTGGTGCCGTTGTAGCGACTCAGCTGTGCTGCGCTTATGTCACCGATGCTCGCCATCGCAGTGCGTCCCGTGCCTGTTTTTTCGACAGATTGCGAAGCTGTTGTCAGTTGACTGGACCCTAAGAAAGCTCAATCGGCATCCTTTTCTTCCTAGATCTGCATAGGGTTTGCAAGAAATTCTACACCGAGCTATTTCTCTCTCTCTAGCACATTGACACCCTAAGTCAAAGCAATACGTTCAATTCTTTCGCCTCTATCTCCTCAGCATGCACAACAGGAGCAGCAAAGACGCGCATCTAAATCGATAACCTACAAACAATTGCCTAACCACATCTCACAAACCTTCACACAAGGGCAAATTATCTCTTCTTCTAGCCCGCAATGTACCAGCCTAATAATGCACCCAGAACTGAAATACAACTACTCTTCAAAAGAAACCCATAACACACTTACAACGATTTGCCTAAGAAGCTGGCTGGAACTCAACGGCGATGCTAACTTAGAAGAACTCGCTCCAATTGTGTTGTCGCAATCTCATCTCTGTAAGAGGAACCTGTACTGGAAGGAGCAGTTGCACAGAATCGAAAGGAAGGAAAAGACGAGAAGATATTCCTCCTGGTCCCACCAAATACACAAGTATGACTTCACCGTACAACCAACTCATCGTCAGCACACGCAAGATCAGCATCTTCTTTGCAGCTTTATCGCTTTGTCACTTTGTGTATTTGTACAACAAATTTTAACGGGGTCGGTCTCTACAGATGCAAGGTTTTAGTTCTCTCTGATGTAGATAAGCACTTAGGCTGTAAGTTTCAAAAAATGAAAATAAATATCAATCAGACTATTCATTGCGTGCGTACTTGAGTTGGTCTGTACTGTTGATAAACGTGAGTTGAACGAACTCTGCATCTATTATTGTCGTTGACGTTCAGTGGAACATCACGCAAAAATTGCTCGTTGAAATTTTCTTCTTTTTCCTGTAAAATCCTCAAAGATCTAAATCCTAGTTCAAATTAAATTTGTTTAAATCTCGCCCTGAAAGATTAGATGCCGTCTCTGGCTAGGATTCCACTCTCTCAGCAAGTGAAGAAGTATAAACCGAAAAAGAGACTCCGTTACACAAAAAATACACTTGAAAGAAAATGAGCTCCATAATAAATGATTGTGACTCTTACAGTTACGTATATCGAAAAAATAGGGAAAGAATAGGTCCGCACAGGTCCGCACATGAGATGGTCAACAGATCGATGCCTCTACATTATCTATGGCACTGACAACAGTTACCCAATTGTTATCTACTATGGTCATCAATGTCATCATCTGCACTACGCTCTATTTTCCTGCCAACCCATGACAATGCATGAATTATGTTCCACTGTAGCATGTTACAACCAATACTTGGAACCGTACTAGAATTGAAATTGCATCTCCTTGGTGTATCCCAGTGCTTCACAATGGCCAGCAATTGCCCTGTTCATGGGTGGCGGTCCACAACGCAAAATCTATCAACCGTGACACACTAACCCTTGTTAGAGAAGTTTTGAAGTAAATTACTGTTATCACTTCATGAAGATGAAATAAACGTCCTCTAGGAAGAAACAAGAAGAAAAAGCTCGTACAAAAGCAGATTTAGACATTATTCTTCGATTCAACATTTGCGAAGGAGATTCGTCCTTGCTCTGGGATGCATACCTGAACATCGGCAGCTGGGGGGGGACAGTGTTTCTCAATCATATCTTTCGTCACAAACCCGACACCTCCGTTCCACTCCGTTGGAGGCTGCGCAAAACGCGTACGAAAAAACCGTGAACAATCCAGATAGCATTGAGACAAAGCAACACGTCGATTTTGCATGTTCATATGTGCAGGCTGATGATAAAAGTAAAGAAGTAGAGCGCTTAGCGACACAAACCTGGTTCAGAACGTAGTAGACTTTGAACTGGTCTGGGTGGTCTTTTGCCATTCGATCAAGATCATCCTGTGGAATCAAGTGCTTTACATTGTAAGATAAGCATTTGATAACTGACCAAGTTAATACTGTAGTCCAAGATGTCCCCGCGGAAAAATGGTTCCTACAAATAATGAACATCTTACAAGGCTTCCTATTGCGAGTCATTTGGCGCTCGGGAAATAAGCACAGTCCAGATATGTTCAAAACTCTTGTATGGTGTCAGAGAATGTGTACCTTGAGTAAAATGTCTTCATGAGTAACATTCGCATAGATCAATGATACCTGGGTGTGATCTTGAGGGTTCTCCAAAATTGCTCTTGCAACCTGCACGATACACATGAATGCTTTCATCAACACAAACAGCTCAAAAGAATGAGAAGACGTGAAGAAGAGAGTAGCAAGGAGGTTCCGAGGTGCTCACCACATTTGAAATTAGAAGGGGTAGATTTCAATGATAGTCAATCATGTCATAGGGGACTGAACAAGATCACAGTCTAATTTAAGTCTTAAATAGGCAATTGTTCAGCAAAGCACCACGCCAAGTCTTTCCTGCACCCGCATTTATTCTTAAAATAGGAGCGAATAAGACATTGTCAAGATTCAACTTTAGCTTTCTGAGATATTTAAGGCTTTTACGCGAATAGGTAGATTAAAATGTTGTTACAGAAATATATGTGAATGGCACCGTACCTGATACATAGGAGTGAGGCCAGTTCCACCAGCCACCATTCCAAATGCTCTAACTTGATTGGGTTTGTATCTGAAGCGTCCCTACATCAACCGAGATTACCACGCCACTTCAATCTCAAAACCGGTGACTAGTGGCCTTCTCTAAAGCTCCTCCATAAATATTCATCCGAAGGAACCGTGTAGCACAACGGAGAGCACCTCATTGACCACTACAAAGTCAAACAAACGACTCGAAGGTAGCTCCCAAGGAAAAAACAACAATTCTAAGATCTTTCTGACAAAGGGTAAATCACGCTACAGATACCCTCTAAAACAGTGTTCACTTAAGTTGCAGCATCGGTATCTTTCACGAGATTTTTTTTATATTTCATTGAGTGCTTAACTGAACGGCAAGTTAACAAACCTTGGGGCCCCTAGCAGCAAGGTACTCGCCCTCCTTCATGCGACCGAAGTAGGCCGACACCTTGCCTTCATTGTAGACCTGGAAATATGGCAAGACAAGGAGGCCTCGATCAATATTTGAAATCCCTCCAACAGCGGGACTTACTCATGAGTGAGCATCATGAATACTGGGATTCAGTGAAAAACAGCGTCTCGCAAGATCGGAAATATTGTGTTGTATGAAAATGGCAAATCACCTTTACAACAAGATCGAAATACCCAACGTCAGTGTCGAGGGTGGTGGGGGTGTACGGCCTCACAACTTCGGAATCAAAACCCCTGAAGAAAAAAAAAAAAAAAAAAAAAAAAAAAAGGGGTGTAAAAACAAATATGGGCCTTATTCTTCACACACCAAATTTGTTACACAACGCCACAGGGAGACACTTGCGACACAGATCTGCGACTCATGCCTAGCTTCGTCCTTCTTAACTATGTACTTGTATTTTATTTTTTGAAAGCGTACATGTGTGACGCGCTTAAGAGCAGAGTGATTCATTCTAGAAGAGACTATTTAGTCACTAACAACTTGAGGAAATATTGAAGAAGACTTTTTAGCACTGAGCACTTCACATACACATTGAACAATTCGGTATCGGTAGATCCTTGCAGAGATTGTCCTTGAGAAATACAATACACGTAACCAGATTTAGGATGGCAATACACTTACATGCAGCTGATGTGCTGGCCGATGGGGAGACCAAGCACCGAAGTGGGAGTTGGCAACGCGAATCGCAACTTGACCACATTGTGACTGACTTGCTCTTTCTTCACACACTTGAACTTCAACCACTTCTCTGGAATGAGAACGGCTGCGAAAAAAAAAAGTACATTGAAACCAATCGCAAGTGAGCACAAAATAGCGACAAAAACACAACGTAGCCTACGCAGACTTCTCCTAACCTCCACAAATTCGAAAAACCGACAGACACTGCAATCACATCTACCCATAAAATGCAGAACATAGAGCCAGATGCACACGCACTTTTCTTGCGGTTCATAAAGTAGAGGAAGGCAGCGCCTGCTACGACCGTCACCAAAGCAATTGCGACGCCCACTTGGGTCGCTTTATCGTTCTGCAGCTTCTCCATCACGCCCTCCATGTCCACAACAACAACCAATGCTCCCGTGACGCAATTTGCACCTGCCCACTACCCGTAATTCTCACCCTCGATAGCTCCGACAGGACTCACAAACCAACCACGGCTACTTGCAGCCACTCAAAACCCACAATTCGGAACTGAGCACGACAGAGCTTGAGCTGCGGAAGTCACCAAACAAACAAACAAAAAACGTCTGCGGGAGGAGATGACGAGGTTGCACGCTGTTAATGCAATCCAGCACAGTTCGGGTTTTGGACTTCGCAAGCTTCAATTTCAGTTGCGTCGAAGCGACCCAGTTGCCAAATTTTCCACCTTGCTGAGACGAAAAGGTCAATCGTCAGGGGTCAGAGCGATCGCTTTGTCAAGCTGGGAAGACGGAGCTGCGAAATGCGTTGAGTCGTGTTGGGTGGTCCTTTCGAAACCCTAAAAGCTCATAGTGCCCGAAACGTGGTGGTGAATGTTCTTGGGTCCGAATGGTAAAGGAATATAAACTCCGAGCCAAAGTTCATATGCACTAATAGAATAATAAATAAGTAATGAATTTTGATGACAAATTCTATATCCAATTGATGACAAATATAGAAGAGATTTTTGTTTTATTTTTTTTTATTTTTTTTTCTTGTACAAACTATGTTTGCAAAAGTTAAACTTTATTAAATCATTCTATAATGAATATTTGTTATTTTGTATTGCTTGAAACTAACTCTTATCACAAAATAACAATACATATTTTTTGTACCATTTGTTGCACATTTATTGTCAAATTAATATAAATTTTAAGAGTTTTTTTACAATCATTTTTATTATACTTCTGGGTTTATTAAATCTACATTTTTTCCTCAAAGAGTTTCTTTTAAAGAAATCTGAAATTGTAAAAAAATAAAAATAAAGTAGTAGAAACAAAATCATTTAAATAGATAAAAGAATGAATTTGAGATGTTTTTATTCAAAATAATTTATGCTGCACATGTATTCTACAAAATACTTTAAAGATATTTATAGCATTATTAATAAATTACAACTGTTTGGTATTCATTAATTCCATGCCTAAACCCATCTTGTGTGTCATAAACTACATCTTTGTATATATGGTTGAAATTCCTTTTTGTATCACATGAAATGAAGTGATTAACAACGGTTAACTCCAAGGCATCTGAGATCTACATAAAATCCTCATTAGCTTGTAGAAATCAGAGTGAACAAATTTTGTGGGTGAAAAACAGTCAAATGCAATTCCCAACAAAAGATAGGATAGATATCTGCAAAAGCTAAATCGAAAAATCTGCAGCTATTAACATATTTTCATAAATCATCAACCCCATAATTACTACACATCCCATACAATACAATGTCGTGAACCATGTCTAAACACTAAAATACATATATAAGTAAATTCAGAATAAGAAGAGAAGACGTGATCTGAAACACCTCTCATGGTCACTTTACTCATCATTGGAAACTCACCAATAAGCTTTAAAAGATGTAGAGAAGATAATCCATGCTTCACTGATTCGTCACAGCAAGTATCAACCTCAAAGAAACATTACTTTCAGCGTAGTCTTCAAAAAAACTCGCATAACATAAATAATAAGTATTTTCTTCCAGTGTACGAGTATCCACCTATCCATCTATCCACCTATTCCCTTCCTGCACTTGGTTTGCACCACAAAGGAAGTAGATGTTTTAAGTCACAGGATCGACTCTTCTGCATAAATCCTGCAAACGTTTCTCAGCTTTGAGTTTGCACGCCGTTTGTAGCTTCCTCTGGTTTACCTGGCTCAAAATTACCAGTGCACATGCATGAGTTCGAAAGGAGTGACATGAAAATTAGATCTACAACGTCCAAACTACATAGCATTTCTTCGAATGCGATCTTCTGCAGTTAATACCACAAACCAAAATGACCAAAAGGTACCCCAGTGCTGACCCATACACACCTTGACCGTCAACGTGGCCTTCACCTTCACCTTCTGCTGCAAGAAGAGATGATCGCCGAGATGACCCCGACTGATGGGACGAGGGCTGCACGCACAATCACAATAAAAAGAGTGATCAGCCTCCGCAATTTGTCTATAACAATACCATTCTTAACTCTTAACTTGACATCATTGACACAACTACATATTACTCGTGCCAAGACTCACTTGGGTCTTTAGAGACGAGATCGTAAATCATATTATCAGAGCATAATAGAAGTGCATTACTTGAAAAGTGGGTACCTGAAGCTTAGGTCGCAATGTCTCCATCAAGCTGCGCGGCTTCTGACCTGGAGGTGCTCCGCCCTGCTGCTCCCAAATGAGAACCAGGACAGTAAGTAATCTCATCCGCAACCGTAAATGACATCTCCCAAGGCTCCGAATAAAGAATCTCACGAAACGAGAAGCATTCGTGACATCATACACTGGTATGTCCACTAGATCTAACTGAAAAAATGAAATCATTTGAGGAGTTTCCAATATTGAATGAAGAGCTTTCATGTCCGAAACAAAACCAGTGTTCTTAAACCTGAATGAAGTAGCCTAACCTTTCCAAGGGCCCAGTCAGCTGAATCAAAGAAAGCACGCTCGTGGTCCTGGCCCACAACAAACCCAACATACCTCAGACTAAGTAAAACTTCACTTCACATGCACCATATGATGAAACTGCTCTACGTTACAAACGACAGTCAATTTAAGAACCAGAAACAAGACCACATAGCTTTCCTGGACAACTTGGTGAACTGAAACATCCAAAATCCATACACAATCGGTATATGGATGCGAAGACTCGTCAGGGGATACCATAGTAGTCAGATAAATCAGAAATACCTTGGAGATCAAGGGAGGCTTCTTGGGCATAAGACCGCCATACTTCTTTTTCATGATTGCCTCCTGCAGATGCACTACTAGGATAGTAAATAATAGAAGTTGCATATAATACAGCCTGAAACAACTACTGTTTTCTACAATGTTGACGTGTTTTGAAAAGAAAACAGACATTGCGCCAGATACCAGTCTAATAGCACTGGACACGTTCAATAAGGAGATGAACACGCTTTCTTAACGTGAATTAAGAGGAAAATTGAAAAGCAAGAACAATCGAACACAGTGGTCATTACATTGCAAAACCCAATGCAGTTCGATCAATATGCAAAGATTCTAAACTTAAATACTCTTGAATATGTCTCCGCACACCGAAATATTGAAACAAGATCACCTACATGAACTGATGAGCTGTCTAAACTGACAGTAAAAACAAAAACATAGACAGAGACCACGTATCTGTTTCATATTCAAGAATGATGTAGAATTCTCTGGAAATGAGCAAGTTTCTCATAAATTTACGGCACCCACACAAAGAATGTTGAATGACATTGCTTTAATCGTAGAACCTCTATCAACAGAAAGATCTCTATATGACATCCAACAAAACGTGTCAACGTGGATTTGAGAGAGCCCACCTCTTCTGCCAAAGAGGGGATGGGTGCCTGAACATGCTTGGTGTCTGCCTGGTCACCCATGGCCCCTTGCTCCTCCTTCACCTATCAACCTTCAAAGCAATCATCACAAGAAATTAGAATTCAAAACGGGATATCAAATGCAAGCAGTTATATGTATCAACATTTACAGTGAAATATGCAAGTGCACAGATTACAGCTGAAGGTCGTCATGAGGAGCTGGGCTAGCACCAAAAATCCATCCAGGTTTGCTGTCCGCTAGAGAACGACATTGAACTGCACTACAATTTCTTTAATTCTATACCTATAGCCAGCAGAGCGGGCTGTGGAGAAAACCTTTATACCCAATCGCGAAGACAAAGTGACCATGAATACGAAAGACGGAGCCAAGCTTCGATTTTGGCAGACGTAACAAACCAATTTTAACAACAAAGCGGATACATATCACGAGACCAATTTAGACTCCTGTGCAACCTACTCGGCGAATCAAGATTGGTCGACCGAATAGCGGAATTCGAAAAAAGCATCACTTACAACGTCTAAGTGAGGTTAATCCGAAAATCAGCTACAAGGGTCTAAACTACACGAAACGTCTCAAAACCTGGATCTCAAACTCATTCCCACAGCACTAAGTGCCTGACATCGACCACAGCTCCCCATAGATATAATTAGCACCGTCCAAAAACCTAAAAATGCCTCAACAAATCTTAATTTGATTATACCAACCACGGAATCGACAAAATTGCAAGTGCGCATCCACAACAGCCCTTCACAACCCCGCCTAAGGATCACTCGGCGTCCACACAATCCTCAAAAACACCCAACTCATCATCCAAACAACGCATGCGTCCAAACCTCACATTCGAAACGAAAACCCAACAAAACTCACACATCACATGGCGACTCACCCCGGCAACGACCCTCAGACTCCAGCCCCCTGACCTCAATCGCAGCTGCAGTCTTGAACCCACCACACAAACCGTAAACTTAACCAATGCAAGCGCACAAAACCTCCACCATCACACTATCACATCATCTGGGTGGATTGCACCCTCTTGGCATCACTGCGACGACACCTTTCCCATCCACACCAGACAGATTCTCCCACAACGAACAAAAGAACAGAGACACACACATGGGCAACCAATCAAATCGAAGCACAATCAGAGCTAATGGGGTCCTCCCGGACTACGACCAGGTTGCTGATGAGCTGATTAATCCAGAGAATCTTCATGAAGACGAAGTAGAATTCGGTGCGCGTGCGAGCATGTACCGTGAATATGCTGGCTTCTGATTGTGGGCTGTGGGTGAATCCAGGCGGCAAGCCCTGCCTAGTGAAGAACCTGCGACTGGCTCCAGGAATTTTCCTCTCGTGAGAGAAACCAACGGCGATGACCAGTGGGTGCCTTTAATGCAACCAACTAAGCGAGTTGGACTGAAATGCAACCAACTGTGCGAGTTGGACGAAAAGCCCTTCAAATCCTTCAAAGCCCCCACCGCGCGACGCTGCCACTTCCTGCCCTGCCGAAAGAGACGATGTTCCCCATGTTCCCATCTTAGGGAACGAATGCCACCTGGCGACCGCGATTCGGGGGCGGGGAACCCACGTGAGCCTGGTTCCCTTTGTTTCCTTTCCTGTTCTCATTGAGTTGAACGTTGGGAGCGGACCACGACCGGCTTTCGTCCGTCAGATGAGCTCAATTACATTTGAATGTTTGGGGAAGAAAAATCTTCTTCTGTTTTGTTTGTTTGTTTTTTTGATTTTTTGTTTTTTTTTTTGTTAAGTAGTTTTTTTAATAATTTTTTATCAAGAGATTTAAATTATTAAAAAATTAACTTCATCTCAACCTCTGCACTTTTTACTCAATCTTTACATTTTTTATTTTATTTTATTTTATTTTTGATATTATGCTTAACCATTCATCACGTTAAGCTTGCTTTTGACTAAAAGTGGAAATTTCTTGTAAGTCGTTGGATGTTACAAATCTGCAGCCTCGATCTTTTTCTAGTGTCAATATTTTGTGGTAGATTTTTTTTTTTTTTTTTTTGAATTTGTCATTTACAGAAAAATATAATCTTTTAAAAAATAGATCAATTTATTATAATATAAGTTAAACTTTAAAAGATACAGAAAAATATTTTTATCATCATTGATATATCTAAATCTGGATATGGTATTTTGTGAAAGACATGGAACAAAAGGATTATTTTACAATTTTAAACCTTTTTCTAAAAAATATATATGATTTCATAGTAATATGAATATGACAATTACCACAAATGATCATTTTTTTATATTATTATTTTTTAAAAATAAATTTCTTAACATTAAATATAATTATTTAATTATTTTAGATGGCTTTTAGGTTTATTATTTTTTTAAGTTAACCATCTGAAATTAACTTGATTATTTTTTAATTGATCATTAGATTTATATTTGATATAGAACCTAATTATAATTCAAAGAAAAAAATTGGATAATATTTTTTATGATATCTATTGCACAAAATATACAAAATATATAAGAAAAAATTAATTTAAATTTTTATATTTATAAAAAGATATTTATTAAAAGATAAAAAACTAAAATATACATAGTATAATTTAATTTTTTTATAAGATCTTTGGATTTTTATTTAATTACATTAGATAAATATTTATTAAATATTAATAATTATCAATATTCTTAAAACATAAAGAAGTGCATGCATTTTTTTTTGGAAAATTTTAAAATAAATTTAATACATAATATTTTTATTTTAATTTAGATAAATATATAAAAAATTAGATCAATAAAAAAATGTTTAAAAATATATATAAGTAAATTTCATTCAATCATATTTTATATTAATTGTAATTAGTTCTATCCATGAGTATATCATTTTAATAATTATTATTCATTCAATTTTGTTTATTGTTTCATTTGGAGTTTACCAATTATTTTTTATATCAAAGATTTAAGGTTCTTCAATTCAATTGTATTAATAGTAGACTTAAACAATCAAATATATTAAATGATATATAATTAAAAAAAAGATTAATATGTTAAAAATAATTTTAAATTTAAATACTTATTTACAATAAGATGTAAGTTTATCCAATCTATTTAGATATATTAAGTGTAATTAAAGATATCAAGTTGTATAATTTATTTGATATTGATATGTTAAAAATACGAATTCTAAAGAATTATAGGATCAATACATTCTTGTGTTACTAAAAAATACAAATAGATAAATACTCAAAGATAATATAATAATAAAAAAGAATGGCAATTGCTAAAAATAAATATAAAAATTCTTGAAACAACATTAAGAATAATAAAAAAAAAAACATTAATAAAAATGAAAAAAACTCTCAAAGTTACGAATTTTGAAGAAAGAAAAATCGTCAATAAATTATTGTATCACTCAAAAATAATAAAAAATCAATTAAAGATGGTAATATATTGAACTAAAATAGATATTGCCAAAGACAAGAAGACTAAAAAATCTTGAAACAAGACTAAGGACTAGAAAGGCATTGATAAGAGTAAAGATGGCTTTACTTTTGCTTCTATATATACTATCTAACTAGGAGCTATGTGGAGATATTCTATATGACCTCTAACACATACTAACTTTGTTAAATACATGATTTAACTTATAAGGCAAGTTTTCTATATATGCATCACATAATGAGCTTGTTCCATAAGCTATTAACACATGTGTCACAAGGCTAACTTATTGATCAAGTTTCTAGCCTATTAATTAACTACAAATATATGTAATGAAATAAGACTAATCTATCTCGAGAGTTTAAGACCCTTCTAATCCACAATAACATAAAACCTCATTACAAAATATGACAAATTTGACCAAAATAAGACTAAATGGAACTAAATATAATAAGACATGAATCCACTAACCTAGACTCAATTCTAAAAACTTCCATAACTTCTCAAACAAGGTTCTAACTATCTATCTATATGTATCAATAATACAAATATCTTATCTATACCTTGTTATAGTTAATTCTCCTCCACTAATGCAGAACGTCTTTGTTTTCCTCCCAATGGTGTTTCCAAATTGTTTCTTGGTAATGAATGAGGTTCTGTGTAGGTTTCCTTATTGTATCGTAAATGAAATAAGCTTTCTAAAGAATTTTATATTGAAGTTGTGGACATCCATTGCTATGGCAAAGATAGCAATACTCCAAAATACTATCTACTTCATATTTTTATTGGTCATTAACTACAACTAGTCGTGGTAGTAATTAGCGTTGATTTAAAAAGTGCTTTGACTTGATGTAATATTCCTTCAATTGCAAAATATGGAAGACTAGATAGACCTAAATATGTGGTGGAAGCTTGAGGCAATATGCGATATCAGAAATCACTGCAAAAATGCAGAAAGGTCCAAGCCACCAATGTGCTAGTTTATGGATTTGATTTGATGTAGCCACTGGCAAGTTGATATTAGAGAATAATACTTGATTACTCTCTCGAAAGGACTTGTGTTACTAGTAGTTATTTCCATATTGCTTCTATTGATTTTATATAGTAGAGAGGTGATGTCATGCGTCTTCTAAGCCTATTGTAAGCTGTTGTATAAATTCCTCCATTGTCAGGTTGTTGGTGTTGATGAGACAATAGAGAGTTGCTAGCATAATGGGATATTAACCAAACTTAAGGAAAAATGGTGAATGGCTAGTATTTGCTTCAATACTATCATTGTAAGTAAATTCTAAGGGCATTAAGTATTCATCCCAATCATTACAATGAATCAGAAATGCTCGTAGCTTATCTTTCAAGGTTTGATTTGCAAGCTCTATTTATCCATTTGTTTGGAGATAGAAGGTTGTTGACATGGCGAGTTGTATGCTTAGTAGCTTACACAAGACTTACCAAAAACTTCTTATGAAGCATGGATCCTAGTCTGAAATGATGAAATGAGGTAATTCATGGTGATGAAAGATAGTATTGTAAAAGACTTCTGCAAGCACTGGGGCATGAACATCTGAGTACACCAGAGGTAAGTGAAGTTACTTCAAAAATCAATTCTTAATGATTATGAGACGTATGCAGTGTTGTAATATAATAAGATTAACAGGTGAAAAGAGTGAAGAAATTATTATATTATAGAAGATCTTATTTCAAATATTATAACAAATTATCTTATAAAATAGACAATAGTCCATAAAAAAGTAAGATTAAATGTGTAAACACTATTTTTTTGTAAAATAGGCTTCTACTTACTTTGTAAGGCCATAAATAAGAAAAAACAAGATAGATTAGAAAAATAAAGAATATGAGCATATGTAAGAAGAAGTTAAGAGTTGGTTTTAATAAAAATTAATTTAAAAAAACAAAATTTGATATCTAGAAAGGACCACTTATCAACCTAGGACAAAATCAGATCCGAAGCTACAAAATTGAATATCATTGACAATTTTGGGATTCTTTTGTAAATCAAAGTATGGAATTTAAGCATTGATTTTGAATGATTTGAGCATGTAATGACTTTATTAGAGCTTTGCAAATTCATAGTTATTTTGGATGATTCTTGAATTTGTAAAATAAAAAGGATATTATATTTTAGAAAATTTTATAAGTTTGGTAGGTAATCTATGGTTCAAATTTTAAATACATATGTAAATATTTGTCTAAAGTGTATGCTATAAATTTGAGCTTAATCAAACAATTGAATTCAAGGTTATTGAATTTCAAGTAGGTTGAGGTCTCAGAAATTGATCTTTGAAGGGCAATTAGGATTTCTAAGATCTTCAGCAATTCATAAAATATATTGGAGTGAAATTTGTATATGAAAATTATAGAATTAATTTGCTATATATATGTAAAATTTGAAAACAATTGAATAGTTTGAAAAGGAGATATTAACACTAGAAGTTCAACATTTAGATTGAAATAAGAGGCTAACCAATATTCAAGTAGATTTAAGGGTTTTTTTTTTATTTGATAAGTGAAATTAGCTTAAATTTTGTATGTTTATTGCTAACTTAGTTTTTAAAATGTGTATAAAATTTAAGGATTAGGTTGAGTTGGTTATGTTTTGGTTAGGCTTTGGTTTAAAATTTGATTAGGATTTTATTAGGATTTAAAATTGGATTAGAGTTTGCTTAATATTTAGAATTTAGATTTTGCTTAAGATTTAGGATTTACTTAGAGTTTGATAAAGGTTTGATTAGAATTTAGGATTGAACTAGGATTTAAGGTTTAGATTAGAATTTGCTTAAGATTCAAGATTTAGATTTTGCTTAGGATTTAGGATTTAAAATTTGCTTATAATTTGGTTAAATTTTTTTTAAGATTTAGGATTTAGGATTTGTTTAGGATTTAGGATTTAGAGTTTCTATAGGATTTAGGATTTAGGATTTGGCCTTGGATTTAATTGAAGTCCATTAAAGTTTAAATTAGGATTAAATTAGAATTTGATTGAGATTTATTTAAGATATATTTGTGATTATTATAATATTTCTTTAAAATTTCTTAATTATTCTTTTAAAATTTATTATAGATTTTTTTTGAATTCTTTTAAGATTTTTTTATTGTTTCTTTTGTGATTTCTTTAAAATTTATTTTAAATTTGATTAAAGCTTTTTTAGCATTGTTAAGATTTAATTAGAGTTTATTTAGT